AATGATAAGTGCAGAGCAGCAGTTTCTGTACACTGCACTTCTTATCAATAAGATCTATCATTCTATGATGTTTCAAGTCCATAGCTTTCATACTTGAGGAAAAATGACCAGGACAAAAATAAAGTAAGAAAAGCAACAAAGGGCAATAACTCAAAAATAAGAAATGCTGAGTATCAGTTCTTATGCACTGCACTTCTTTTTAATGAGATCTATCATCCTAATGAAGTTTCAAGTCCATAATTTTATACTTTCAGAGAAATGGCCTGGACAAAAATTAAGTATGAAAATAAACAAAGGGCAATAACTCAAAAAATAAGAAATGCAGAGTACCAGTTCTTGTGCACTGCACTTCTTCTTAATGAGACCTATCATCCTATGAAGTTTCAAGTCCATGGCTTTTATACATTAGGAGAAATGGCCCGGACAAAAATAAAGTATGAAAATTAACAAAGGGCAATAACTCAAAAATTAAGAAGTGCAGAGTACTGGTTCTTGTGCACTGCATTTCTTCTTAATGAGATCTATCATCCTATAAAGTTTCAAGTCCATAGCTTTTTTAGTTGAAGAGAAATGGCCCGGACAAAATTAAAGTATGAAAATTAACAAAGGGCAATAACTCAAAAAATAAGAACTGCAGAAGTACTGGTCATTGTGCACTGCACTTCGGGTTATTGAAAGAAGCATGCATACCAAGTTTGAAGTCAATCAGACTTATAGTGACTTATAGTGACTGAGTTATGCTCCGGACAAGCTTTAGCGGACGCCGACAACGACGCCGACACCGCCGCCGCCGACAAAAGTAACCCCTATATGTCACCTTTTCAAGGCGACACAAAAAGTTAGTGCAAATAACTCCTGAAAGTGTGTACCAATAGACGATTTTGATTAACTTTGGACCGGAAAGCAATAGTTTTATAGCTACTATCCAAGCCACGCACCGATTGCCTGTGGTCGTATGTATCTAGAATTTGATTGGACACTTATAATGAAACGGCGAATCAAAACTCGTTTCACATTTTTTTATTCAAGGGAGAAAACTTGGTCTTGATCGGTCTTGGATATATCCCGGAATTCGTACCGGACATAACGTCCGGAACTAGGAAAAAAATATCGGACCAACCTGATTTTTGCCGGACATGTCCGACGGTCCGGCAACTTTCGCGAAGCCTGAGCATACCTATTGAAAGAAGAAAATAACAATGGCAGCAAATAAAAACACAATTGATATGTATTGTGAGCTATATTATTGAGCAAAAGTAAAACAACAACACGTATAAATTTGTTGTTTTATTTATAGATCAATGTAAAAATGTTTGGTTCACTTGTTAGAGTGGCAGCAACAGAATTTGATATTAATAACAATTCTTACAAATGGTCATGTCATCATTAGTTTTATATTGTAAAAGCTCATATGTTTGGGAATTTTTTGTTTGGAATTAGGAAAAGATGTCTCTTTTTTCAATAGGAGGGGGTCATGTAACCAGACTCAAACAAAGAAGGAAAAATATGTTTGTATTTCTTGTTGGGAAGCGTCTAGACTGGGAAGCCAGGCCTTTCTAAAGAAGGAAAAGATTGCTGATATTTTCAACAGCAGATAACTCAAAATCAAGTAGACCAATATTTTTTTTGTTCTCAGTTATTATGCAAAGTTTAAAACAATTTTATCTTTTAACCTTAAGTCTTTTGTTACGCTTCAATTAGTTAACAAATTGCATTTTTAAAAGGAACTGAATTAAAACAAGAGGGCCATGATGGCCCTGAGGTCGCTCACCTGTATATAGGCCCCACACCCCCGGGCCAATTTTTACCCAAGGGCTTTTATTTGTTTATTTGAACAGACTTGGTAGACACCCAAGAAGATGTTTCATGCTAAACATCTAAGTTCTAGCTCATTGGCTTTTTTAAAAGAAGATTTTTAAAGTTTTTACTATACACATATAGTTAAAAACAATGACACCCCTGGGGCAGGGCCAGTTTTGACCCCCGGGCGTTTATTTTAACAAACTTTATAGATATTTACTTAAAGATGTTTCATGCTTAATATCTAAACTCTAGCTATTTGGGTTTTTCCAAAGAAGATTTTTAAGTTTTTGCTATATACACATATAAGGAAAATCAATGACCCCCACCCCCCGGGCGGGGCCAGTTTTGACCCCAGGGCTTTTATTTGAACATACTTGGTAGACACCCATTAGAACATGTTTTATGCTAAATATCTTAGCTCTAGCTCTTTGAGTTCTTTAAAAGAAGATTTTTTAAGTTTTACTATATGCATATAGGGAAAATCAATGACCCCCTGAGGCGGGGCCAATTTTAACCCCAGGGCTTTTATTTGAACAAACTTGGTAGACACTCATTAGAAGATGTTTCATGCTAAATATCTTAGCTCTAGCTCTTTGGGTTCTTTAAAAGAAGATTTTTTAAGTTTTTACTATATGCATATAGGGAAAATCTGTGACCCCCTGGGGCGGGGTCAATTTTGACCCCAGGGCTTTTATTTGAACAAACTTGGTAGAAATTCACTAGAAGATGTTTCATGCCAAATATCTAAGCTCTAGCTCTTATGGTTCTTTAAAAGAAGATTTTTTAAGTTTTTACTATACGCATATAGGGAAAATCAATGACCCCCGGGGCGGGGCCAATTTTGACCCCAGGGCTTTTATTTGAACAAACTTGGTAGAAATTCACTAGAAGATGTTTCATGCCAAATATCTAAGCTCTAGCTCTTACGGTTCTTTAAAAGAAGATTTTTTAAGTTTTTACTATATGCATATAGGGAAAATCAATGACCCCCAGGGGCGGGGCCAATTTTGACCCCAGGGCTTTTATTTGAACAAACTTGGTAGACACCCATTAGAACATGTTTCATGCTAAATATCTTAGCTCTAGCTCTTATGGTTTTTTAAAAGAAGATATTTAAAGTTTTTTCTTTTGGTTGCCATGGCAACCAGAGTTCTGCATGGAATTAAATTCTTTGAACAATTTTTAAAGGTGACCACCAAAGGAACATTCCTGTGAAGTTTGGATGAAATTGGCTCAGTGGTTTATGAGGAGATGTCATTTAAAGCAAAAGTTTACGGACGGACGGACGACGGACGGACGCCGGACGAAAAGCGATCACAAAAGCTCACCCTGTCACTTTGTGACAGGTGAGCTAATAAATCATTTCACATTAGGAACTGTAGAATAAAATCTGTCACATATAAGTTCAGCATATTTAGCATTATGACAGGGAATAAAAGTAACCCCACAAAATCAAATGAGGTATTGCTTGCCAGAGTTTTGGATTATCTGTTCTTGAAAATGACCTAAAAGCAAAATCTCAATTTCAGTGGCAGATTACTCAAAAAGCATGACTGCCATTTTTGTTTCCATAAATTTGTTTAAAATATATTATCTTTAATCATGAAAAGTTCTAGAAAATATGAAAAACTTGTTACTGATCATATGCAAGTTTTCCAAAATTAGAAAATCTTTCATTTTAGTTGACAACCAAATGCCTGTCCTGGAAATGAGATCATGTGTATTTATAGAAAAAGAATTTTCATCAGTGCATAACTTTGATTTCATTGTGAAGTTGAATAACCAAACTGTCAAACCCTGACATTTAACTATTTGTACATTAATTGGGTGGGTCTTACAAACGGTTAGAAGACAAAAACATGTGCTCTTATTAAAACAAAATTCAACTCAAGAATTGGTCAATACAAATAAAAGTTTCATTTTCCAAGCTGGACTGCCTGTTAACATGCCATTTGTCATGGTTATGCAATTCAGCAGTATAATTGTAACTCTATCAATCTTTTTTTATAGATTAAAGATTTAATCTAATATAATGTATGTCTAAAAAAATACAATGGCAGCATTCATAAAAATTTGTCAATAAAATAGAAGGCTTTCACAATATCACATGATTTATTAAGAAAATAATAATCATGATGGATAAGAAGCAATTTTTGTTATTGTATAAAGGTCTTATAAGACCAATCACTGATTATGGAAATATCATTTATTACCCTGTAACAAAGAAAAATAAACAACTAGTAGAAAATACCCAAAGAAGAGCTACAAGAATCATCCCTGAACTAAGAGGACTCACATATGAACAAAGATTAAGGGCTTTGAATTTACCAACTCTTGAATACAGACGTCAACGTGGAGATATGATACAAGTTTTTAAACTTATTCACAAAGTAGACGATTTTGACTATGAAAAGTTATTCAAATTATCTGTTACAAATCATGAAATCCGAGGACATATTTATAAATTAGAAAAGTTAAGACCACTAAAGGCAATAAGACAAAATTCCTTCACTTATAGAGTCGTAAACGAATGGAACCTACTTCCCAGTGAAATAGTTTTATCAAAGAATGTAAATGAGTTCAAATCTAAATTAGATAAACACTGGCAATGGAAGAGATTTAAAATGGACAATATATATTAGATAGACCAATACCGGAGCGGACGACACTGAAAACGGAACTCGAGGGGAATGATAGTCCGTTAGGGGACTAATAAAGTTTCCCAAACATCACAAGGTATCACAAGGTATGAAGTTGAATGTAACAAAGACTCAATTTGAATACAACATTCAGTTCAATTAAATGACAGGCTACATAACCTTACACTTGTTTCATTTAGTTGAAAAGGCCATTTGTTTCTTTTAGTGAATACTTTAATTTAACCCATTGAATATTATTTTGTCAATATTTATGTTTTTCTACAAAATCATCTAGATAACTTCTATGTTAAGCGTTTAGGATTAGGGTTTTAAAAAATTGCTTTTGCTGCCTAAAATTCTCGATTGTAGCTAACCTCATGGACTCAGATGAATAACTGATCTTGACTTATTTAGAAATTTGTCAAGGGTATATCTGACAACAGTTATTCGGTAAAATAAAAGAAAACACCGAACTTTCACAGTACTACAACTAATGAGAAAGCAAGAAGCAAACACCTTCCATTCATTAATACGCAACATTAGGTTCAAGTTACTTACGAGCTTCGACCACCTTCTCTTCTCAGCGTCTGACGATCTCCTTTGAACCGAGCTTTAGCCTTGGCACGCTTTTTCCGTGATTGAATGGCCTGGGCTGAAAGACAAGAGCAATTTTTATTAATGTGAGATATTATTTTACGACTCAATGGGCAACGATTCATTAATAAAGAGTTTGTTTTTACCTTTTCTTGCTATTTTGGAACTCATTTTCACCATTCATTAATGGAACGTTAGCGCATGCGTGTTGTTATCGAACTGCATTGTGGGTCATTTGATTTCCTTTACAGACAGGCTCCAAAATTATTTTATCTAGCTCATATATCATACATCATTTTCAAGCTGAAATCAAACGAAAATTGATTTTTATTTATCTATTTAAATTTGGGAAAAGCGTCTTATGTTAATATCATTTTATCTGTATGAACACACACAAGGAAAATTACATTCAAATTATGATACTGTAATTAAGTACTGTATATATTCCTCCGTACGATTATGGATTCATAATATGAAAAAGGCAAAGCCTCAAAGCGAGCTCGATGTACTTTTTAAGTGAAATAGTATGAAATAATCTCCAATGCAGTGACGAGTGCGTGTGACGTCACACGTACTGTGTTAAATATGGCTCCGCCCCTGTCGTGAAATGAATTACGAGTTTTGAAAACGTTGATAAAACTTTGTTTACTAAGTATTTTATTTCAATCTATAATTTTTCAAGCGAAATAAATATTATTTAAAGTGAAATAAATGTAAAACTTAAAACGTTTGCGACATTAAAATAGCGTACTTTGTTTGTTTTGCACGTGCTGTTTGGCGCTACATTGTGACGTCACGTAAACAATACTTTAAACGTCTGTACAGCGTTAACGACTGAATAAAAGATATTGGTGTTCGGATTCATTTTCTTAGTTAGACCATTTTCTTTCATTCTAGATAGTTTTCACAACAAAATTCGACAAAAAAATTGTTTTTATTTTTCAGATTTCAACAAAATGGCCCCTTCGATTTTCACATTTTATACACAGCTTCCGTTATTCTGGTTCCCTGTCCAATCGTGGTTCCCATAGACGTGCGCGGGTGACTAGTCTACACATCCGTTTTCAGTCAGAATTCCTCAGTTTTTATCGTTATCTTTAAATTCGAAAGGTTGCGATGTGTCCATTTTTTTTTACTTTGGACGAAAGTTTTCAAAACCATCACTTAGCAGGTACTCGCGTTACCGTAAAGCTCGCTTTGCGAGCAGGCCCTTCGGGCCAGCTCGTCGAGCTCGCTATTAATCAAGATCTGTAATGCGATGAGATCATTGGGTGAAAGATAAAGACGAGCATAGCCTGTATGGTTAAAATTCATTTTTATTTAAAAGGCCAATGTAAGTGTAGCAGGAGAGGGCTACTTCCGAGGCGACAGGCTGCAAAATTATCACAACCTGGCTTCGCAAGTTCCTCTCCCTTTTTCTTGCTACTGATTATAAAGCCTGTAGCTTGGACTCACTTCGTCCCTTTACCCCGAATATTTGCTGCAAGAAATGACAAAAACACCAAGTTTCCAGTTCTGATTTTTAATACAAAATTAAATACTCATACTACAATGTTCTTTATTTAAACATATAAACTTCAATTTATCAAAGTATAGACATTAAATTCTATAACAACTACCAAATTTAATATAAAGAACTTTCAATGCAGAGTAATAGAAAATAGATATACTGTACTTTTACTTTAATAAAGAAATACTAAATAATTTACTTTTATAATACCTAATAAATTAAGATATGGGAAAGGGCGGTACGTAGCTTGGCTTTGTAACCTTTGCTACCAATGATGCATGTATGTATGTTGTTAATGCTTAATGAGGGTCCATCCGCCCGTAAGGGCACAAAAAGCAGCTTTCGCTGTCGAGTACGGACCCCGGACATGTCACCAGTCATGCCCTTAAAGTATGTTATAATTCTAAAATGGTGACCTATTTGATTGGAATTCAGTAATTCACTGAATGAGCCCAAATAAAATGCAATTGTTTTTAGATTTATTAATGAAATAATACACGGGAGGCCAATGAGACCATTGTGTGCATTATGTTGTTTAGTATAAGAATTGTTGCTGCCTAAAATAAAGGATCAAGAAGCGGACGGGTAAGATTTCCCTGACATAGAGACGCACGGACAAGCAATGGTGCTTCGGACCGGTGTTTTTTTGGTTCGGTGCCACAGACAAGCAAAACGGACAGACAAGTTCACTCCTTCCAGTTTTCAGCTCCGCCATGGACCATGGACTGCTTCCCTCATCTGGTGGGTCTAGAAGAACTCTTCCACGTCTTCGGTCTTCGAAGATGTCTTCTTTGACCTCCCCCCTTAATGCCTACTTTGAGAGTGCGACATTTTTGGGGCTTGGTCATGGACTTCTCATCCCCTCAGAGTGGTCTTCTTCATCCCGTCATGTAGTTCTTCCAGATGTCTCAGATATATTGAGATAACCGCCTGATATGTTACCATCACTCGCATATCGATCCGACTGCCGGTAAGCCACAGACAATTTAGTAATTTATAAAATATGAAATGATTTCCGAAAGATAAATTCTGCCTGTATCGGTCCAATTTTGAATTTTGTTTTGTTACTACCAATGATGCATGTATGTAGTTAAAGCTTAATGAGGGTCCATCCGCCCTCTCGGGCACAAAATGCAGCTTTCGCTGTCGAGTACGGACCCCGGACATGTCACCAGTCATGTCCTTAAAGAGTTAATTTTGAAGCACAAAATGGTGATAATTTACCTCCATGCAATTTCCACGGAGTATTAGCCAAAGATATGAATTTTGAGCCAAAAGTAGGTCACTGTACGGTGGTCAATGAGAACCTAAATGTACAGTAACCTGTGACAATAGGAAAGGTGTTTTTAGCCCTGAAAAGGGCTGTTGGTGCCAGCTATAGGCCTGCCTTACAAGCCGTCTATCTGTACTAGGGGCTCACGCACCCTAGTACACCATCCTCGTCGTCTCAGCCTACTTTGTAGGGCCACTCCCCTCGGCATTAGTCAAGACACCGGCAGCTAGTCCAACTAATTAGACTTGTCAAAGAGACACCGAGATAATTTTGGACGGGCGCTGTCTTTTTCCAACGGTTTGACAGTAAGAAAAAAAAGTCTGTAAAATGGGTCAAACCGTTCACGCCGAATTAATTAGGCTAACCGTATACGTACTGTCTCCATTATAGAATTTATAAGATAATGTAGCTCTAGACATGAAACACTTTTTTATAAGAGGAGTTTCCGATTTTGAAATCAGTTCTTGTTATTTTATTATGCTAGTTTTTTTCCTATATATTAACACATATATATAAATCTTATATTTAGCTCCGTGATATTAACTACTTCGTAAGGTCTGTACCTCAGTATTTAATTTGTTATCAGGGGCGGCAATACCCTTTGTCCCAAATATTCCTTAACGTGTTGAAATCGAAAGTATTAAGAAATACTATAGCAAAAATACTTATAAAGTCTGTTCGTCTTAGGTTATCACATATATTTTTTGTTTGTATTATTATGTGTAAAAATCTAATTTCATAACTTGGAAATAGATATCAATTCTGAGTGTATTGTTTAAGAAATAATATATCTCAAACTGTGATTTTATGGCTCAATAAAATCACTGTTTGGAGTTCGGATGCGAAGAATAATATCACGAGGGCGTAGCCTGAGTGATAAAGTGATGCGCATCCGAACGACAAGCGATATCAAGCGATAAAATCCCCGATTTGGATATATTATTTCGATTCTAACACGACGTCATCAAATAAATGCTGCCGCACCTGATATTAAGCTAAATAGCGCCTGATTTGTTTCCATACTTATTTTCAGCGCGTCACATTTTAGTGGTTACTCACGTGTATAATGATTACGTCACATGTCTAAATATAGAACGTCAAACAGTGATTTTATTGCATATTATCACACTTTCGTGCCGATTTTACGTCTCCGTAAAAATGGTATTGCACGGCCGTGCATATATTTTGACGTGACGTCATTAGCGTTATACAAACATAGTGTAAAGACTCGCTAAATGTTAGCGTTATACTGTAGGCGCGTCAATGAAAAACGACTGTTTTTCACTTTCAATTGTCTTTATTTTGGATATGTGATAAATAGAATATCAAATTCGTGTAAGTTCATTACTGAATTTATTGAACTCGTTGAAAAAAATAATATTATGCTCGCCAGAGGCTCGCATAATACAAGTTTATTCAACTCGTGCAATAAATTCAGTATTGAACTTACACTCATTCAATATGCTCTATTTCTAATACGACCCGCATCTTGTCCCTATTGAACATAGAAGAACCGAAAGTGTGTTATTATGCAAAATGAAAAGTCACAGAATGGCTGTAAATATCGTAAAAAAATGAAAAATCTCTGAATCCCACTAAATCTGTATGTTAACCAGTTATAATACTTGTGTGTCCTCCCATGGCTGTAACAAAGTGTAAACACCTGTCTCTTGGTTATATCGTAGTTTCACATGAAGGCTCAGGGAATATTTCTCCATTTCTGAATAAGAGCTTCCTCGAGTTCTAGCAACTCCTGCATCAAGACCAATCATAACATCACACCTGTCGGCTGATTTGAACAGGCGTGTGAGAAAGCGACCAGAAGCCCCTCGCAATTTGCTGGAACTCGAGCAAGCCCTTGTTTAGAAATAGAGCATTGTAAGGCAGAGGTGTTTACGTTGTTATAGCTGACTGGGAGGGCATAAAAAGTGTTAGAACTGGTTCAAATACAGATTTAGTGGGATTCAGAGATTGTTCGTTTTGTAACGATTTTTACAGTCATTCTGTTATTTTTCATTTTACAGTTGCCTATTTGTTTTGTTATTTTTTCTACTTTCTTATCAATGATTGTAGTTCTAAGTAGTAATTAAGTGTGATATGTTGAATTTTGTATGGTCCAAATTGAACAAAATCTGTTCTCAAAATAACCTATTTATACAGAAAAATGTCTGATTATATGTGCCACTGATTGTACATGACCTGTTATAACACGACATTATTTACAAAAAGCAGTATTAATAATGATTGATAGTGATTCTAGGAACATTTTCCCAGAAATGAAACCAATTAAGAAATATATACAGACGTCAGTGTTCATGTACTTACATAATACTTAAAAACACATCATGTCAAAGAAAAAAACCTAACGGCTCGGGTTATATTTACAAATAGCCGTTTATATAGGGCCATATAACCTGTCAACGATCTTTATAACTAATAATATACACGTAGGGCGCTAATAACCTCAAAACAGTTTTAAGTAACATGTATGTAATAATACCAGGTCTTATTATATGTCTCTGCAAATACGTAATGGCCAATATATCACAAGAAAAACATGCGACGTCATTGTGATAAGACATTTGATACGCATGTTTATCAACTGTCATGAGTGTCGCGTGACGGATTATGAGTTTGCCGCCTAAAATCATAATCGTAATTGACCTAGCTGATGAACATAAGCACGTGCAAAACAGGTCAAATGTTATTCCACATTTCAACGTCAATTTATCAAAATAGAGTAGACAGGGGTTATGTCACGATGGCTTAATTTTATGATTTGACTTACAGAGATGCCCAGAAAAAAAGTTTTATTAAGAAATAAAAATAACTTGCGACTTAACCGGTTCTGCTATAGCCTTTGTACAGTACCTGTAGCAATTAAAGGAAGCAACTCTATTTTTTATACTTCAGAGGGCTCTGGGATATATTAAAGTTGCTGGAAAAAAACTCAAGTGCATTATAGCTGGGATTTTTTTAAAAACTTTTTGCAAGATTAAAGACATTATATTCAGAGACGGGCCGGAAACTGATAATCCTGAATAATTTAATAGACCCTCGGGTTTTTCAACATCCTCGAGGCTAATATATATTTAATCGATGGAGCTAAATATAAATGTGATTTAATCACGGCTTTAATTACATTTGCACTACAACATACATTATGATTTTGCTTTACCCACGGTGTTCTATTTGAAAGACAGCCCTGATGCTTTATTTGGATATGTACAGAAGTGAAGTTTTGAACATGTACTGTAGAGTCATTATCATATATGATGTATTTAACATGTACACCGATGACCCATTACTTAATTGGAAGCGAATGGACAAAGAAAATAGCTTCCTGAAATCGGGGTTTCTGTTGAAATGGGTACGAAAATTTCAGTGACATGATATGCAAACAATACAAAATATATATTTAAAGTATCACGTTGTGTTTTTAATGATTAAAAGCATGTCATTTTGATATAATTGGTCATTTCCTTATTTTAATTCGTACCTAATATTTTCGTACTCACATTTGTGCAAGTTCGGATAACTTTTCCATATATGGAGTTAAAACGTATTGAAACGAAAGCGCGTTGTTGTTATACATGTATACAGAATGCTTTTCAGTATATACTTAAACTATTTAATTGACATCAGTTTTTTGTCAATGCCTAAATTTAATTTTGTTATTATCAATTTTTATTATGATATGTATCAATATGTATAATTTAAGAAATGATAATAGATGAACATTAGATTGAGTGAGTGATGGTGTGGTCAAGTAGGTAACACACCAGACTAGTCATCTAAGAATTGCTGGCTGCTTTGGTTTATACCTTGTCAGGGGCAAGCTGCTCCCTTGAGCAAGAAAATTTACACTCATTGCTTACTCCTTAGCACTGGTTGATTCCAGGAACAGATTCAAGAAATATAGAATTAGAATGTTTCAATTAAGATAAGCTAATAGCTTTCAACATAATCAGCCTAAAAGAAATCAATATAAACTAAGATTGGAATAAGCATTGGAGAAATTATAAGCAGGATAAGCTGGAGAGGGTACTGTTTGAGGATTTAACTCAATACAGTGTTGGAGCAGTTTCTCTAGACGCTTGCAGAAATCATGATCACAAAATAGACAAATGGCTTTTTTTCCTACAATTCTTATAATTTTAAATCATTAATGTATGTAAATGGTAGTGATGAGATGAATGAGACGTTTCATACACATGGGTTAAACTTAAAAGTTATGTCAAAATGTAGTTTCTTTTTGAAAATTTCTCAAGTTACCGAAATGCTGCATAACTTTTCCTGATTTAAGCCTGGTGCCTTTTCCCAAATAGCTAGAAATAGCTCTATTGGTAAATTTTCACAAAGGGGTGAATTAACACACATGACAGATTGGCAGGTTTTATAGATCCCATACAAATTTTTTAAATGAATTCCATCCCGACTAATCAGACAGAAAAAAAACACCACATTGTACTTAAGTGTTTATTTTTTGTTTAATATGCAGTTCTCTCCTGTATTAAGTTGGAAGCCAATAAAGTTGATGTCAATAATTTCAGCTGATCAAGAGATGGAAGATACGCTGGTTTACTCTCCATGAGGATGAATTAAGATGTCACCCAAAGAGAGATAAATCTGTAGTGATCGAGACAGTTTCTTTGCAAGGGGCTTCAGTTGTCTGCCCTTGTTTTGATGAGCCAGATATAAATGTTGAGGTAAGTGTATGCAGCAAAAAAATACTCAAAGTTGTATTATACTATAGAACAAGGGATACTCACCAAAGTTGTATTACATCCTTGCTAAGAAATTTGTTAAAATGAATTTTATTGGCTCCTTTTAGGGTTCAATAGGGTTGGTGGAAAGCAGTAGCTGTTTAGTATAACATAATGTCTGTAATCATCATTAAAGTTGTTAAATGACATTCTTTTTATGCCACCGCAGCATCTCTGATATGGTGGCATATAACGATTCACCTGTGTGTCAAAATTGGCCCTGCCTCTGGGGGTCATTGATTTTCACTATGTACATATAGCAAAAACTTAAAAAATCTTCTGTTTGAAGGTATAAGGCTTAGAGCTTTGATTTTTGGTATATGATATCATCTATAGGTCCTCTACAAAAGGTGGTCAATTTTTGCCTCTATTGTCAAAATAAGCCCGCCTCTAGGGATTCATAGGTTTTCCTTATATGCATATGGTAAAAAGTTAAATGAAAAAAATCTTCTCTGAATTGACAAAGGCTAGAGGTTAGATATTTTGCATCAAACTGTGTAGTGGACCTCTACCAAGATTGTTCAAATTATAGCCCAGGGTGGTCATTGATTTTCACTATGTACATACAGAAAAAAACTTTTAAAAAATTTCTGGTCTGAAGGTACAATGCTTACAGTTTGATATTTGGTATATAATATCATCTTCAGGTCCTCCATCAAAGTTGTTCAAATTTTGCCCCTAGTGTCAAAATTGGCCTGCAAAATAGGAGAAAGCTAGAGCTTAGATATTTGACATGAAACATTGTCAGGTGGACCCGGCTCAAAATTGTTTGAATTTCACCCTTGGGTCTCAATTTTGCCCTGCCCAAGGGGACAGTGACCTACTTTCTTTTCCTTTGATGTATAGCCATGAAATTTGGACCATGTACACAGTTTGAGATGTAAAATTGAATTTTAATATAAGCTGACCTAGATTTGACATGTGACCTACTTTCTTGTCCTTTGATGTACAGCTTAGCTGCTATGAAATTTGGACCATGTGCACAGTTTTTTTTATGTAAAATGGAACTTTGATTTCAGCTGACTTACATGTAGATTTTGATGATGTGACCTACTTTTTTGTCATTTGATGTACAGACATGAAATTAAGGCCATGTGAAATATGACCACCAAATTCACTTGACTCAACTGCATTATGGCAAAGTTCAGTTGTATAGAAACACTTCTTATACTTCTATTTAGTATTGTATTATATAATGCAGTTTATATAATGCGGTGGCATAGCATTTTTCACAAATGCAATCTTGTTTAAGCCCTCTCTCTATTTTGCCATCTCTACTGTAAAAAATCGAAATCACTAGAGCTAAAAAAATTGAAAGATACATCAACTTTATGTAATGCTAATAAATAAAAAATTAATGCATTTTGATTTTCAGTTTTGAATTATAGGTTTGTAATATTGACAAATATAAGCTGAAGCTTTTCTAAAGGTTAAATATGTTATTTTTAGATATATTGTTACTAGAAATACTTTAGTTTGAAACAACAGAAAATAAAAGCTGAAAACTGCTTTAAGGGTTTTATGTTGATTTTTTTATGTTCTCTAGCATGCATTTAAAGTGACAACTCCGAATGGCGGGGAGCTTCTGTTCCAGGCAGCTGGTTTACAGGATAGAGATAGATGGGCCCATGCTATAGGAGCAGTCATACGCTCAATTACATCCTCTAGTCAGGTGAGTTTGCTCATCAAATTTAACAACACGATTGTCATTTTTGGCAAAAAAAATGCCTCGAAACTTAGAAAATACTCATTACTGCTTGCTATAAAGGTAATTATGCCTAAAATTTCTAAAAATTAAAAATGGACCATCTCAAAAAAAAATTTAATGACAAACCTGCTACATTTGTTTTTTTAATGATGTCACATTTCATGATGTTACATCTTTATAATGTCATACTTTAGGTCCAGTGTACTTCTCAAGGATTCTTGTAAAATTGATTGAATGAAAATCTTGTTATTTGATGGAGAAAATTTAATTAGGCAAATGAAAATCAATACCAACTGTATTATAGGCAAATATAAATCAGTTCATTTCTGTAAGCAATGATTTTTTACTGGTAAAATTTTGCATAGAAGAGTGGAGCATAAATAGTAAAGACTGGGCATTAAATTGTAGTAGTCATTCAGGTCATATTTTCACTATTTTGTCTGGCTTTTGAACACCTGGGGGCATCCTTAGCCTACAGGTTTAAATCTTTGCCTTCATATCACTTGCCCCTAACAACTGTTGGTTAAAATCCTGCCAGGAACTTTGAATTCATTCATGTGAGGAAGCTATCCAGCTATCTTAGGGAAAATTGTTTGTTCTGCTTATATGTTGGTCGTGCATAAGACACATAGGGACGCCTGAGGTCTACCTCCACCAGTAAAGCGGGTAAGTCGCCATAATTATGACCTTTACATTGTCATTGTGACTTAAAACTCAACCAGTCAAATCAATAAAATCATGTCTTAAGTTTTTATGTTAATAATGTTTTCTGTTCTATGCTATATTACAAGGTGCACTGTTATAATAGTATTATTTATCTATACATGTTATCTTTTTGCAGATATCAAGTAGCCCAGTGAAATTTCAACACTTCAGGGCCAAAGCAAATGTCACGTAAGATATTTAGTTTTAGAGATTTTTAAGGCTGTTTTTTTGGGCCAAAGTTCAGCATTACTGGTTGGGGATCACCTCAGTTCATTTCATGTTTTGTTTTGCAATATTTTAGGAATGAGCAGATACATAAGAAGTAGCACCATTCTTTCATAACCTAGCTGGATAGTTGACATTAAAGTATCTAAAGTCTTTAGTGGGATACATACCCAAAGTGGTGTATTGTGAGACCAAAAATACATGTAGTAAACTTGGACTATTATCAGCTTGTCATCATTTTAATAATTCTGTTGTGTTACATTGTATGCTTCCAATTAATTGACCCATAACCTGTTGGTGGCGACTAAATGTATCCATGTGCTGAGTTGAGTTGCAGACCAAGATTAACTGGGACAATGGCACTAGGACATCAATGGTGTCTGATCATGGTCTACTCTGTTTGCTTTTCAATCAGTCCCTTTGTTGAAAATTTCCTGTAAAGTGTTTAATGATTTGAAAGATTGACAAGTCCAGTTAAGATATTAATCTTGGTAAAGGTCTTTTCGTCATAGTACATGTTTCGTATTAACATTTTTGGTTGAATAATAAGCTACGTTCTATTTTTAAAACTGTATTCTTTCAGTATAAAGTCACACTTTTTGGGGCACCTAGAAGGGGATTTCCTATCTATACTTGGCATTGCTGTCTAAGAAGAATTATCTATGTTTTATTAGCTACCTCAATACCTTCTTTTTCACAAGAATTTACTGTCTGTAATGCAATTCAAATTTTTAATGGTGGAGGTCAAATGATTTTATCATGTCACAGCAAAATAAAGATCTGTTTATCTAGGCCAGACAATATGAAACTAATTATCTAATTTAAAGTTGTAAACCATTTAAAATTACTTCATGAGCATTTTGTGAAAAATGGCTGTTTTCATTGAAAAGTCTCCCGTTACAAGTTCAAATTGCTATAATACTATAAAAACTGCTTCAACACTACTCAAACTTGGCACAATTGTTGACTGGACCACTGCCCTTGCAACAACATGCTCAGGCTTAAATTTTCTGTTACCATGGCAACGAGGGGACATCTCAAAATTGCCAAAAATCACTATTTTGCGTTGATTTTTTCCATCATAATTGATTTCAAAGTGCTGCAACTTCTCAATGGATTGAGATAGAGTCAAATGCTTTTCAGCGTTGGTTATACGTTACCTTATGATCAATCTGAGGTCATTTATAGCCTCTCACAAGTCCAAAATTTTCTTGGCGATGAGGGAGACTCCGCCCCCCTTCAAACCCCCCAAACAGAAGGGGGCACATCCCCCTTCTGGCAAACCCCCTGATGTATCTTTTGGTTGGGGGCCGCGCCGAAAAAGTGGTCACTTTTTTTAAACAACATTTCTCAAACGAAAAACAAGTGTTGGGGGCCTAAATAAGGCATTTTTTCACCATTTGAGACAACAAAAAGGGGGGGGGGGGGAAAAGGGCGTTAAAAGGCGTGTATATGAAGTAATGGGTTAACAGAAAATGATGAAAATACTTGAAATTACCCTAAATCGCGTTTTTCCATGTTTAAACATGGCCTGTCATATAAATTTGAAGAAAAATTGTTGTTTTGTAGATTTTTTTATTTTTTTCATTAACCCATTACTTCATGAGCATTTTGTGAAAAATGGCTGTTTTCATTGAAAAGTCTCCCGTTACAAGTTCAAATTGCTATAATACTATAAAAACTGCTTCAACACTAATCAAACTTGGCACAATTGTTGACTGGACCATTGCCCTTGCAACAACATGCTCAGGCTTAAATTTTCTGTTACCATGGCAACGAGGGGACATCTCAAAATTGCCAAAAATCACTATTTTGCGTTGATTTTTTCCATCAAAATTGATTTCAAAGTGCTGCAACTTCTCAATGGATTGAGATAGAGTCAAATGCTTTTCAGCGTTGGTTACACGTTACCTTATGATCAATCTGAGGTCATTTATAGCCTCTCACAAGTCCAAAATTTTCTTGGCGATGAGGGAGACTCCGCCCCCCTTCAAACCCCCCAAACAGAAGGGGGCACATCCCCCTTCTGGCAACCCCCTGATGTATCTTTTGGTTGGGGGCCGCGCCGAAAAAGTGGTCACTTTTTTAAACAACATTTCTCAAACGAAAAACAAGTGTTGGGGGCCTAAATAAAGGCATTTTTTCACCATTTGAGACAACAAAAAGGGGGGGGGGGTGAAAAGGGCGTTAAAAGGCGTGTATATGAAGTAATGGGTTAACAGAAAATGATGAAAATACTTGAAATTACCCTAAATCGCGTTTTTCCATGTTTAAACATGGCTTGTCATATCAATTTGAAGAAAAATTGTTGTTTTGTAGATTTTTTGATTTTTTTCATTAACCCATTACTTCATGAGCATTTTGTGAAAAATGGCTGTTTTCATTGAAAAGTCTCCCGTTACAAGTTCAAATTGCTATAATACATGTACTATAAAAACTGCTTCAACACTACTCAAACTTGGCACAATTGTTGACTGGACCACTGCCCTTGCAACAACGTGCTCAGGCTTAAATTTTCTGTTACCATGGCAACGAGGGGACATCTCAAAATTGCCAAAAATCACTATTTTGCGTTGATTTTTTCCATCATAATTGATTTCAAAGTGCTGCAACTTCTCAATGGATTGAGATAGAGTCAAATGCTTTTCAGCGTTGGTTATACGTTACCTTATGATCAATCTGAGGTCATTTATAGCCTCTCACAAGTCCAAAATTTTCTTGGCGATGAGGGAGACTCCGCCCCCCTTCAAACCCCCCAAACAGAAGGGGGCACATCCCCCTTCTGGCAACCCCCTGATGTATCTTTTGGTTGGGGGGCCGCGCCGAAAAAGTGGTCACTTTTTTAAACAACATTTCTCAAACGAAAACAAGTGTTGGGGGCCTAAATAAGGCATTTTTTTCACCATTTGAGACAACAAAAAGGGGGGGGGAGTGAAAAAGGCGTTAAAAGGCGTGTATATGAAGTAATGGGTTAAAATGTCATTGGAAAAGCAAAAAAAGAAATTTTAATAGATTAAAGAACTTAATATTTGAACTATAGAGCAATTATAAAGCATGTTTGATAATCTTGACCTTGATAAAAGTTGTACATGTTTAAAACCTGTAGTAACCCTCTCTGATAATTGTTACTTTGATTGATGTTATGTCTGCCTGCTTAGCTCAATAGGGAAAGCATCAAATTTGTAATCTATGGGTCAGTGGTTCGATCCACAATCGAAAAATTTGTCCTTGACAATTGGTTCTGTTCCAGAAATGTGAGAGTAGTATTTGACATTAGTAATTCCTGGTCAGTTATCCAGGAAAACCAGTTAGATGGATTGACCACCAAGATATGTCCAAGAATGTGTTATAATTGGTGTTAAAAATCCCCGAACAAACTTGATATTATGGATTAAACATAAGAAAATATATGCAAAAAAACATTATTAACACTGCATAATGTAAGGTTTGCTGATGAGATGCTCTGATGAAAAAAGTTATAAAAGTTTCAATAATGTTTATATTTTTATTAAATGAAATATGGCAGCAGTACAACATAATGAAAATTAATAAAAACATTTGTTTCTTTACTTTCTCTTTCATTATGTATATTTACATTATTAAAGGGAAGTGCTTGGAGCCTTGCAAGATCCAGATGCTGGTGTAGAAATGAAAAGTCATGTCCGCAATGGAATTGTACATAAGAACTGCTTTAAAGGAAGTGACATCATACAATGGTTGCTACGCTGGAATATTGTCCGTAAACGTAATGATGGGGTGGCGCTAGCACAGACTTTGTTAAAATTAGGTCATCTACAGGAAGTGGATATATCTGACGGAACCGTCGGTGCCTCCCAGTTCTTCAAAGATGATGAAAAGCTCTATAGATTTGTAAGTAGAAGTATTAACAGGTTGTTTCTCTTCTATGGTTTTTACAATGAAATTTTGAGCATGACTTTGTAGGATAGTGTGTTCTGTCTATATCATTTATAATAAATTAGGGCCGGGAATTATATTCGAATATTCGAAACACTACCAAATAATGGAACATTAAAAAACGAATACGAATATTCGAAAAATAGAGTGTTTTTTTTTTTGTTATTACTAAGATCGTAAATTAAACCATTGACCATTACTTGACCAGGTGTTCACACGTTTGTATGACGCGTGTCAACGATTATGGCCAATTAACTGTGAAAACTTTGGGGTCTAGTTGATCAAAAGGGCACCCGTTTCACAGTTTGCAATTTACCTGTTTAACAGAATATAATGTAAATTTCCGATTTTAATTATCTTATTTATTGTTTTCTGTGCAATAATCTTTCCGATTAATCAGTAATTGTCTAAATTTTGTGAAAATGAAAAAATCGACACGTATTAATCGGTGCTTTATGAAAGCATGGTCAGTGTCAATATTCCGTCAAACTGGTCCCAGCGTCAAAATATATTTATTCCGTAGAAACTAGATTCCGTGTGATATTTACTGTGTTATAGCTAAATTTATCTGAAGAATATTTTAAACCTTATCTATAATTATAAATGAATAAAAAATATATTTAATTCAAATTAAGTTTCAATATAAATTATGTGTTTTTGGGGCTAAGAGGCTACGGTGATTCATATTACTGTCAATCAAGTCACGTGAATTACCTCCTGTTAATAAGACAAATGATCAGCAGTCGGATTAACTGAACAAATGGCAATTAAATTATGAATTTATTTCAAAAGTTAACATTTATGTCGATTTACAATATATAAAATAAATAACTTTTACGTAATAATATAGGTATTTTTAATCGTCGATTTTTCCAAGCATATTAAAGTAGTATAGTATTTGACGCAATCAATTTTGGATACATATACGTCAAAGAGAAATATTGGAACAAATGTTGTAAAAACGAATATTCGAATATATTCGAATATGGAAAACGCATATTCGAACATCAAATTCCTTATTCGTTCCCAGCCCTATAATAAATCAATGATAACTTATTTTAGAAAGCAATACTCATATTAAATAACTATTTGTTGTTATTTTAGAAAGAAATGCTTATGATAAATAAGTAAAATAACAATTAATTGCTTATTTTAGAAAGAAATGCTTATGATAAGTAACAATTTATTTCTTATTTTAGAAAAAAATGCTTATAATAAATAACAATTAATTGCATACAAACTGTATATTAGAAAGCATTGCTTGTAATTAAGAAACATTGAGTGTGTATTTTAAAATGCCATGCTTATAATTTTGGTCAAGTGTTTATTTTAGAAAGTGTTACTCATAATAAGGAACTATTGACATTTTAAAAAGATTATCTCATAAATTTTTAAGAACCATTGATTGCTTATGTTAGAAAAATTGATTGAATGATCTGAAATTTTGCACACAAGTTTTTGTTCAAGACCTTCATCAAATGGTACTCAGATCTTGGAAAAAAAAAATTTCACTCCTGTCTTGTCAAAAAAACGTCACGATGTCCTTTTAACAAAGGCTGCAAAAAGGAGAGTTAATGTATAGGATAGTCAAATACAAAGTGCTGAAAATCATATGATTATAGCACTAGTTGTAAAATGTGCATCTGTGAAAGTTTTGTTTATGGTAATATATATAAAACATGTATTTCAGACCTCATTGAATCTTGGTGCTCAACGTAATAGCTACTTTGATAGTTCAGATAGTGACTCTAGTCTCTCCGATGATGAAGACGATGACGACTCTAGAATTGTAGAGAAAGTAAAAAAAGGAAAAGTCATCAAAGCTGGTTTCCTATCCAAAAAGGTACCTGAGCATTATCATTGTAATCAGTACATACATATATACATGTATACTGTTTGTTGCCAGTTGATTTTAAGTTGAAGCCCGTGCTGTGACATGATTTGATGATAGGGATAACTTCTAAAACCATTTGTTGCCAATTGAAATATTGATTTAAATGTAATTTTGATATATGTATGAGGCCATTTGTTTTACTGCACTATTGATCTATTTGATTTAAGTGTAGCGATTAAAAAGATCAGGATAAGGTTGAGTAGAAATTACTACAAATAGCTTGGTAAACTTCTAGCATGTAAAATAATTAATAAACTCACGATAAAAACATTGATAAAATCATAATCTAAGCCTTAAGCTTACTTTGTCAAATTGTCAAATATGCTAAATGGTGCTAAAGTTGACTTGTATTTTCTTTCTTAACATGTGTTTTTCAGTAAAGTGGCTGTAATTAATAGTTATATATTCTATGCATAAATTTGTATTTTTGAAGCCATTTGCTTAGTAAATATGAAGATGCCAGATGTCTGATTAAAAATGTCCCACTTTTTAATCACTTGAAGTACTTTGTAGGTTGCAGTGAGATTGTATTCTTTTATGTGAGGAAACGATCCAAATAACTTACTAAAATTTTGTTTTTATATTCCGGTGGCAGCCCATGCTTTATATAATGCATTAAGTTGCACCTGAGGTATTCCTATATCAGTAAAGCTTAAAAGTGACCATATTACTATTACAGAGTCAGTGTGACTGAAAGAAACTCCACTGAACCCCAAAAGTCTAAAAACATAAAATTTGAATGATTTACATTAATTGGCTGGGTCACTTAAAACATAACAATTTGTAAAAGATTATTAAGAAATATACCCATAAACACATGTATATTGAACATTGTATTTTCAAGTTATTCTTAGTTGATTTAGTCAGTTTTAGGTCATTTTTCACAAAAAGAATTATTATTCTGGAAAAATGGAGTGAGTGAATGATCTGAAATTTTGCATATAAGTTATTGATTTAGACCTTAATCAAATGGAGCATAAATCTAGAAGAATGATTTACAGTCCGGTCATGTCTAAAAAACCCAGTGGAGTCCCTTTAAAAGCATGAATTTTATAATACATGGTCTGGTTAGCTGGCTTTATAAATAAAATCAGTGATAATTATGAGATGATTCTGTAATGTGTATTACACAGTCAAAATATAAAAAAAAGCTATTTGATGTTTGTGCATTGTTTTTTTTTCTTTTTCTTTTTTATAGAAATCACTTCGTAAAGGGTGGCGTTTTGTAAGAGTAATACTCCGAGATAATCCTCCACTGTTGGAATATGAGTGCCCGTATCAGAGGACAAGTAAGGTGTGTAGAAGTAATTTACTGGTGTAATACAATGTAGTGTTATTCCCTATGAACTTGCCTATATCACCAGTATAGTGTCCTGTCAAATGGGTGTTCATTTTGTTAAATCCCTAAAAACTGCATTAGATGGTTCCAATTTAAATGCAGAGCAAGTCCCTTGCATTGATTTAGTTGGGTATAGGCATTTTAAAGGCCCACTATGCCTCAGAAATGCTATAAGTTTTATTTCTCAAAAACATTTTATTTTTTGGTATCTTGTTACAGTTTCAAAAAAAAAATATTCATTTGCCATGTAGATGAATTTTTATGCCCCCACAGAGTGGGAGCATATAGCGTTGCACTTGTCCGTCTGAGTGTCCGTCCGTCCGTCTGTCTGTCCGTACGTCCCGAAATCTTGTGAACGTAACTCCTCTTAAACCGGATGGCAGATTTTGCTTAAACTTCCAGGGATGAACAACCTTAATGTGTAGATGGTAGTTAAGGAAGGAATTTTTGCTGCGACCAAATTTAACAGAATTATGGCCCTTTGTTGATTTTTTCACTATATACTATGTAGAAATTTTGTGAACGTAACTCCTCTTAAACCAGATGGCAGATTTTGCTCAAACTTCCAGGGATGAACAACCTTAATGTGTAGATGCTAGTAAAGGGAGGAATTTTTGCTGCGACCAAATTTAACAGAATTATGGCCCTTTGTTGATTTTTTCACTATATACTATGTAGAAATTTTGTGAACGCAACTCCTCTTAAACCGGATGGCAGATTTTGCTTAAACTTCCAGGGATGAACAACCTTAATGTTTAGATGGTAGTAAAGGAAGGAATTTTTGCTGCGACCAAATTTAACAGAATTATGACCCTTTGTTGATTTTTAGTTTTCAACTTGTGGCACATGTAGTCCAAAAAATATTTGACCTAGAGTCATAAGATTGACAGAACAGTGGCGTGTGGGGGCATCCGTGTCCTATGGACACATTTCTAGTTTTTTGCTTCTTTTGCTTTGTTAGCAATTGATATCATTATAGTGAATAAGTATTTTTATGGAAGTCAAAATACTACATTGATTAAATTTTGCTACTTTTATGACAAATTACTGCACATTCAGAGCTACTTTAAAGCAGAATTCTGACTAACTTAAATTTGTAATTGTGTATTTATATCATTGTGTACCTTTTCTGGTCAAGTGACCATTTCATTCTTCCCTTAGTAAAAAGATTTCACATTAAATACTCTTTTAGCCTTTAAAAAGCAAGTATTTTCCATAATTTTTAGTTATTATGTTTTGTTAAATTTTGTAGAATAATTTGGTTTTCATTTTACAAAGGGTCATAAAACTAGCTAATTTTAAAGGATTTATCTTATTATAAATCAATTTATGATGCAATATATTTGTTAAAATTTTAATTAAAAGATTTTCATAATTGTATTTCAACAGGACCAAAAGATTGATCCGAAAAGGTCAAAATGCATTGATTTGCAGAACTGTTTCCTTACAGAATCCAGTAGAAGTACAATAGGTATAGTTGCTATTTATAGAATATATTTATGGTCTGTTTGCGAGATAGAGGAAAGTGTGGGGTGATAGGGAAGAAGGATGGGGAAGGAGATTGCAATATGGGAATATATACCTGATTTAAGCAAGATTATGTTTTATGTATTTCAAAGGATCAACTTTAATAGAAATAGTTGTTGTTGTTTTTCCCACATATTTATTTCTTTCACAATTTTGTTGTTTAATACCAGTATATTTAGTTTTATTGTGATTTGGGGCTTCAGAGTGTGATTGTACTTCTGTGATGTGATGTACTTTTATTAATTTTTCATCGGTATCAATAATTATTGTATCATTAAACATATTGGTATTTTCTTTATTTATTACATTTAGTAAAAAAAGATGACAAGCTGCAGCAACCCTCCGGGAAGCTCCGAATCTATATCCGAACAAAAGGTGGAAAGTGCCGCACATTTCAAACAAAGGATGATGAGGAATGGTTCGAATACATATCTCTTCTACAATCAATGTGTCTTGCTGGGTCGTCAGCAGGGAAATCCAAAACTTCCACATAAGTTTTATCCAAAATTTCCACAAAGAGTTTTAACAACCTGTTTGTTCGATTCTGACTATATTTTATCCCATACATTAGATATAAGTGCTGCATCAAAGTACTGTATCATTCCTAAAATTTTAGTGCTGTGTCATTCTTATATAATTAGTGCTGCATCATTTGTATATGGTTAGTGCTGCACTATACGTGTATGATTAGTGCTGAATCATTTGTATATGGTTATTGCTGAATTATACGTATATAATTAGTGCTGCATCATTTGTATATGGTTAGTGCTGCATTATATGTGTATGATTAGTGCTGCATTATACATGTATGATTAGTGCTGAATCATTTGTGTATGGCTAGTGCTGCATTATACGTATATGAGTAGTGATGAATCATTTGTAACTGATTAGTGCTGCATTAAACTTATATGATTAGTGCTGCATTATATGTGTATGATTTGTGCTGAATCACTCATATATGATTAGTGCTGCATCACTTGTTTTTGCTATTTTAAATGTAAATCTTGCTTAGAACTTGTACCCTTTTAAGATAAAGGTGTAAGATTATAAAAAGATATAAGACAAATAAAACCTTAACAAATGTATGTATCTTGTTTGCAATATTTAAATAGCTTGGAGGGACTATTAGTAAAAGTGCTTGTGCAAAATAATTTTTGAATTTTACAAAGAATATGTGAGATTAGCTCAATTTAAAAGATTAGATATCTTAAAGGAAAGCTTTTTGTTGTAACTGTGAAAATTGTAGTTAAGCTTTTGGAAAAAGATGTTGAATTGCTTTTTATATTAAGCAAATTTTATCTATATTTTATTGTGTAAAAATAGAACAAAGAGCAGATAATCTCTTCATTAAATGCTTATATTAAAGGGACTTGCCATTTTTGGAATCCTCCATGCGTATTTTATTAAAACTTTGGTAGATTGTAAGTGTTCTCAATAATCTAGAGATAAAATGCATTTTGTAAAGCTCAACTGATTAGTTTAGCCAGTTTTTTTTTTCTCCTATAAATGAATTTGTATTTTGTATGTCTAGCAATAAGAAGGAACTGTATCGAGGAAAGGTGCTTGTACACAGTCTTTTGTTATATACTTGTTTTTTAATGTTCAGATATGAACCAAGTTATTATTTTAATTATATGTTTTTATACCACAATACCTAATTAATGTATAGATTTTAATGCTTTAAGAAATTAATCGCTTCAGCCTAAATTATTAATATAACTTGAGTTAACTTAGATTATAAATTATTAGTATAACATGAGTTAACTTAAGTTAAAATTTTGTTAACTTTAGGTAACCTTATTTTAATTAATTAAACTTTACTTTTGTGAACCTAATTTATGTTAACTTAAGTTCACTTAACTGTAGTTCTCCTTACTTTAATTAACTTAATTTCATTGAACTTAAGTTAACTAAACTTAAGTTAGTCTCTTTTTAATTTTTATAGGTTAACTTTGTTAACCTAATTTTAAATTATGAGAATCTAATTTAAGTTAACCTAAGTTTACTTAACTTAAGTTCATCATACTTAAATTAACTTAAGTGAACTTAAGATACCTCAGCTTAAGTTAACCATCCTTTTGTGAACATACCAGTAATTTTTATGTTAACAACCATTGACAGTATATTAAAATATTATCTAGTAGAAGTTTTAAGATAATTTTTTTTTCTTAAACAACAATTAACATTACATGTTGTATATCGAAATATAATCCTGTAGAAGTTTTAAGATAATCATGTTGTATTGTATTATTGTTACTTGTTATAGTCCAGAAAATTGATTATAGCCAGGAAAAAATTCCTTGAGGGAATATATTAGAAGTCCTGTACCATGTATAACCATGTTATTGTTAGTCATTATATTGTTAGTATATCAATTGACATAAAGTCTAGTCATTTGTTATATTGTGTTGATAATCGATACTGGTTCCCTTATATTCTAGTGTTGTAATACAAATGTATATAGAAATGAATATAGTTACATTAATTGTTTATTATTCTAGAATAATTAACTATTCGTTAACTTTCTTTTTTTGAAAATCTGTATATTAATGTAGAGTGTAAGGAGGGGAAATGATTTATTGATCATTTTCAAGTAAAAATGATTAAAAAAAATAGATAATAATAGACAATAATAATTGTTACAGATTTCAAGGAATCTTGTGTACTAGCATAAATACTTGTTTTACAAGTGTTCTCTTTTGTGATTTATTACTTAAGTTAATTAAATGGAGGTGTTCATATTGTTCATATCACTAGAACAAATATTTTCTGTGAACAAATAACAACTGACCACAGTTAATTTTTTGTTAATGTTCACAAGTACAGCTTTTCACAGATGACATCTTGTTATGATTCACAAGTACAGCTGTTCACAGTTGACATCTTGTTATAATTCACAAGTACAGCTGTTCACAGTTGACATCTTGTTATGGTTCACAAGGACAGCTATTGACAGTTGACATATTTTAATGATTCACAGATACAGCTGTTCACAGGTGACATCTTGTTATGGTTCACAAGAACACCTGTTAACAATACAATCAGTGTTAACTAGCCCCATTTTTGTTCACAAGTTTCATCTGCACTCAGTGCATATCTAGGTACTGTTTACAAGTGCTGGTGTTCTTTTTTGCAATCGCTGTTCACTAGTACCATGGCTTGGTGTTCACACTTTTCATCTTATCTTAGTCCATGATTAATTACTGTTCACATGAGCTGATGTTTTGACTGCATTCTCTGTTCTTGTTCACTAGAGTCATCTGTTCTCAGTAGGGGTGTCATCGATTCAATCAATATCGGTGTATCAACGATCTTTGTTATCTGATTCGATATCGATTCCATTTTTTAAATATCGGATACCGAATTCACATATATTTCTAGCTAAAGAGACTTCAGCGACCAGGTTTTATAGAACTGATAGACCTGTTTACTGTCGCAAAACGTCAAAATAAAAGCGACATATAAAGTTATGGAAGCCAGAAACATTTTTTTTCTAAAATGAAAACGCAAATCAATGCCAAAGTTACCTTCCAGTGTCTCTAACGAATGCTGCCTAATTTCGTTGTAATCTCGCATGTCTGCTAAGTGGATGTCAAGACCCCTCAATTCAGATTTTAAAAAGGGAAAATGCCAAGAAAATTTGTCAGTGTTTCTTTGTAAAAATTAAGATTACAAAATGTTAAACTTTAATAATTATTCAGGTTCTAAACACTATAATTTGCCAATTAAACCGGCTTAATTGGAACGGCAAGGACGGGATTTAGCATGATCAGTAACTACGTAATAGCAACAACAACAACTAAAGTAAAATGGAAAAGGCTTTAAACTTTATAGTTACTAGTCATTAGTTTTCATTTATAGCTTAGTAATATGATAAAAAAAAGAAACAAATTGTTCAGTTTTCATAGTTTATCTTTTTTGCATTTGTCTTAATTTAACTGCTTTGTCAGTGTCCATAGGAAACATTTAAAAAGACTTGAAAGCTAAAATTTAGCCTGGCAATTGATAAATAGCTGTATTGCCGATAATTCATTACCGATTTATCGATACAAAAATCCTTATCGATGACACCTCTAGTTCTCAGTTCACATTCTCTTACTTTTCACAAGTACGGGCATTTATCTTTATGCAGTTAGTAATACATGTGTACTTGTTGTTGGTAAGCAAATATTCACAATTCATATCCAGGAATTGTTCACTAACTTCTTGATTGCTTTTCTGTAATCAGTGTTTTCTGTTGTTCACATGTTTCATCTGTTCTAGGTTAACATTAAGTTACTGTTTTAAATGAACTTATGTTCATATTACAGTCACTGTTCACTAGATCAAATCACCAGTGCCATTTGTTCACAGTACATTTTGTATACTGTTTACAACTGCTGGTGTTCATCTTTTTTTTACAGTCAACTTGCTATTGACATTTTTTTTACAGGATCTTCACAATTCATGTCTTGTTACTGTTCACAAGTACAGCTTACAGTAATGCAGTCACTGTTCACTAGACACTGGAATTGTTCACAGTAAAATCACATGCAGCCACTGTAATTTGATGTAGTTATAAACAACTCCTTTTAAGTGTTCTTCTTATCAATTGTTTGAATCATACATACTTTTTATTTTCTTCTGCTACAGACACATCTAGTCATTTATACTCATTATCTCATTGCTTTCCTTAGATGCTTCTTGTTTAGGTAGCCTTCATCCTTAAATTGCTGAATTTCTATAATGGATTTACCTCGCTTTGAATTTGGAACAGTCCATTCAAGGTTGAAGGGAGTTCATAAATAAAAAGGCCAAATTTAGCTACTGGTAGTAAAGAGCCTGGTTAGACTGTATGGTAGTGCAGGATGGCTTGGCATTATACTAGAGGCTTGTCATTTTCGGTTCAAGCAGGTTAAGAGTGTAGCATAAAAAATGACAAAATGCAATAATTTATGCATAATTTTGTTACAATAGGGACTTTCCACTATGCAATAATATCATAGGAATTAAAACATATGTTAATATATTATTCAGACTTGGACACAACCTTACTTTTAAAGGAGGTGTTTAAGTTACATGTATTGAAATATGCCCTTAATTTTTATGGTCAAATTTTCAAAATTCAGAAAATTGTCGGATCAACTTTGTTATGTAACAACAGATTTTATAATAGTAGCATTTGTATTTCACAAGACCCTCCCATTGAATTTTAAAATTTCTGTCTGCTTTAGATGCAGGGGCATCCATTGCCAAGTGGTTACGGTCAGTGACTCAAAACCACTTGCCCCTCACCACTGTTGGTTGGAATCCCACTAGGGAATTGGGATTCTTTCATGTGAGGGAGCTATACTGCTAGCTTCTGGAATGTTGGTGTTTCTACTCAAGTGTGCATCTGTGCCTAAAATAATGCACACAGGGATTCCTGAGGTCTTCCTCCATCAGTTGCCACCTATTCTGTGTTGGTGCACCTTAAAATCCAAACAGAAAAGAAAGAAAAAAGTATAAAAATGCAAATAAGTTCTGTATTTAAGCAAAATTACAAATTTTATACTGTAATGATTTTAAATGTTATTCAGTTGAAATTGTTATTTAATTCATGCAATACTGATATAAATGATGTATGTTTCATTTTGTAAACAGTGCTTTAAGATTGTTAAAACGCCGAACCTCTCTGGTCTTATGTCTCATTATATTCCATCCAGAAGCATTTTGTTTTTGTTTTTTTATCTGTTCATTTTTGTAGGGTGTCGATTGATATACATGTACATCACAGAAAATTTTATTTCTTGATGGGCATTTACAATTGAAAGATGTATTCCATACACCAATGGCACAGTGTTTGTTACTTAAACTAGGGAAAGAAATATATAAAACCTCAAAAAGAAATGTAAATATATTTTTGCAGACATAACAAACATGCAAGTCCAGGGGAGATAATTTGCTTTATTGAAAGGTTTTTCAAAATAATTGACCATTAATGATAGTTTACTGTAAAATGTATACAGAAATAAAAACACATGTTTCTTTACATTGTGGGAAATAATTTCCCTTTGCATTAGTTGTGGCATTTGCACATGCATAAACCACTGCCATTTACTTTTTGTTGATCAGATTAAAAGTTGATAATAATGGGAAGATATGTAGATTTTACCTGTGATTTGCAAGGTATTTGAAATGCTTCTTTGCTTGGTATTAGGATTTTCAAACAAATTAGAAATGAGCCATGTCACTACAAAACCAACATAATGCGTTTGCGACCAGCATGGATCCAGACCAGCCTGCGCATCCGCGCAGTCTGATCAGGATCTATGCTATTGGCTTACAAACCCTAATACAAGTAGAGAAACTGATAGCGAACAGCATGGATCCTGATCAGACTGCGCGGGTGCGCAGGCTGGTCTGGATCAATGCTGGTCGCAAACGCATTATGTTGGTTTTGTCATGACATGGCTCAAATTAAAAATAGTGCAATAAAGCTTTTAAATAGCGATGTTGATCTCCGTACATGTATTTCTTGTTGTGTTTTGGCTATAATCTTAACCATATATAACCAGTGAGTATTTGTTTTCTTCCAAAGTATTTTTTTTCTTCCCATGTTTTTCAGATATATATATTATGTATAAGTGATGTCTTACCTTTTTATAGACTATAACAAAGACAAAAAAAATAGTATATGTATAATACATTATTTCAAAGTGACATTATGCTCTTTTATTTCACTGTCGAAGTGAGCTGAATTGGCTGCATTGTCACTTAAGTGCAGTAATGGGTTAAGTCCTTCTGAATTTAATAGGAGTTAACCAGCTATTGCAAGAAAGTGACAATATACTTAAAAAGACTGACTATACTGATGATCATTGACCAATGAAAAATGTTCAGGATAAAATACAACAACTGCCTAAAATATGAAAAAAATGATACATTCCAAAGAATATTTATAGAATTTTCTGTGAGTCATGTGGGCTATTGATACATGAACTAGACTATTAAATTAAAAACAATCATCGCAAAGTCTAAAGTTATTTTTTCTTTGACCTATACTTAACTTTTTATTCTTGGGTGGACTTAATGTCACTTTAACTTTTTTTCTGTCATTTGATGGTTATATATTTCAAATGATTTGTGTATTTAATTGTATATTTACACCTGTAATTGAATACCTACATAATAACTGGAAATATCTTCTGAATTATGAAGGAATGTAATTCTAGATAAAACTCATTTTTCCCTTAGAAATAATTTGTTGAGAGTTAAGTTCCCTTGTAAATATTCATATGTGATATATATTTTAGTCTTCCATTGCAGTTTCTCTTGGTTAAATAGGGTTTGTACTCTGAAAGAACAAGTTTATCAGGTGATAATTTTTTAGGATAAGGGCAGTTACCCTTGAGGAATAAGGGAAATTACTCTTGAAAACTAAGGGAGGTTACTCTTGAGTATCTGCTATATGTCAAAGATTACAGAGTTGTTGGCACTTGTGTTATAAGCTGTGCTGTTGACATTTTGTTTTCTTGTTATGTAAAAGGTGGCTTATTTGCTGATTCATTGAAATCAGTGTCACCAGTTTTGTTAAATTTTAAGTTTAAGAAAATATTTATTTTCACTTCAAAATGATAATAAGATCTTAATGTAGTACCTTCACCTAAATTTGTGTAATGGTCATGTCCATTTTGGTGGTTGGAACTTCCCATTGTTGATTTTAGGGTATCCTAATGTCAAAATGCTTGAAAAAAGCAGCAAACAGTATAAAGTATGGTCTGACAATATTTTGGGGCAGGTTGGCTTGAATCTTTAGTGCTGAACAAGGCTGAATGTACATGTAAGTGTGGCCTCATTTAAATGAGTTAATTTTGTTTATATTTTTGAAATGCAGGGGTACAAGTTTTCAGGCATTTGCCTGAAGTTCAGGTTTTTTATGCTCCTGAAAGTACTCTTTTTCTATATAAAACCAATATAAATAATGCTTAATTCAGGGTTTTCAGGTTTTCTGATATGTTAATTTGCACCCATGGAAATGTTCAGTAGAGATATTTTAATAAAAGATGAACATACTATTAGCTTCCACAATTTAGAAATTTGTATCAATTTACATTTTTATGTCAAACCTTTATTTAAAGTATTATGCAGTATTTTAAAAAAAAATTATATTGATATGCATTTTCTCTTTCCTATAAGGTTTTCCATTCATTGGAATGAATGGGTACATAATTATATAAACACATATTGCATCTCCAGATAAGCATTAGTTTTATGTAAAAAAACTAAGCATTAGTTTTATGTAAAATTAAAAACTAAAAATTAAGTTTGATTATAATACTTATATTTATTAAAGGGACTCCACTACGGTTTCTTTTACATGATTGGACTGGAAATATTTTTGCTGTAGATCTGGACCAGTGACTTGTGTACAATTTTTCACATCATTCCTTTAATGCTTATCACTCAAAATACTGCATTAGAATCAACATTCAATTTAATTTTCAGTATATTTCTTTTTTATCCTGTATAGAATTTTCCAATATAAGGTCTTTGATGATCAATGTAAGGATTTCAAATTTTATATTTTAGGCTCTTTGACCTCAGTGGAGCTCCTTTAATTATGTTTAAATATTAAAAATATATCCACCTTCAGCTGAACATGTAAGTCACTGTCATATTGATAGGGATATTACATTTTTTTCTGTATCTGGACAATATGTTCTCCAGAAGAAACAGATCTTTTTTGGGTACAATTCTGGTTGTATGCATGTAAATAATCTAGCATTCCTTATTTGAAAGCGCTTTATATTTTTCAGCAATATTTGCTGTTTTCCTTACATATTTATATTTTATTTCAATATTGAAGGTTTTGTTTTGTTGGTGCCCTTTGTTACCCACGTTTTTCAGGTGCTTTTTTATATAAAAAATATGTGACCTGTTTTTGTATTTGTTTTATGGAAGTCACTTGTGTTGCTACTGCTGAAGACTCACTTGTTTAAATACATGTTAACAAACTGTTAACATCATCACTTGTGTTTTTGTTATAGTTCTGCTTTTTTTGTTTCCAAAGTTGCTAAAGAAAGTTTTATTTTAAACATTTTTTTCACATTAAAGAGACAGATTGTTTCCAAAATTAAATTAGCCAATAATATATTTTGATTAGCTGTCTACAAACAACACAAATAATAATCTTATGTAAAAGTCTAGAACAAAACTTTGTAATTTGTCATTCCTTTATCAAATGCTCTTTAAGTAGTGTTATGAATTTAAAAGAATACTCAGAAGTAGGTATAAAAAGGTTTCAACCCACAGATATCTGAAATTGACTTGTCAGGCTTTCAAGGTCGGACCTGTTTGTCTTTCTGTGTAAGGATTTATTGATATGTTGTTTTAAACTGACTATTCAACAGTATAGAGCCTGGTCAAAACTTAAAATATCTGGAAGATGACTGATGTCTCAGAAGCATTAATCACAACAAAATTACACAAAAATTGCAGACTTGATTTGATTGAGTCTGTCCATCAGGAATAATGAAAAAGTGCAACATCCCTCATGCCCGTGCTTGATTGGGTACCCAGTTTTCAATACTTGTGCTAGAACCAATGACCAAGGATCAAAAAAATATAACAACACTGAAGTGAAGAAGTTGTACATGTGATGCTTATGTTTCTCTATACTGGTGGCAAAGGCTGATCACCTTCTTCTCTGGCCTATATTAACCTTTAACCTTCTGAATTTTTGTAATTGATTAGCCCAGCTTTGAAATTTTGACAATCATTTCAAAGTTTCAAGGATTTTAGACTGGCCTGGCCCTATACTGGTGGCAAAGACAGTTCAATATTTTGCATGTTAAAGGATCTTATATTCTATGCATAATAACTTTTCATAATAGTAATATTTTTGTTTGTGTTTTCGTTTTTGATCTGACTCCCATTTTGCCAATCAAAATATTGCTGTGTATAACTGTTATTCATTAAAGTTTCTTTTAAAGTAGCATGCCTCCAGATGAGTAAAATAAATGTTCAAAAATTCAAACTTAAGAAAAATTGTGTATAGTTTAAGAACTGTATAAATAGTCACAATACCTGTGTACTTTATGAATGTTGTATCATAATATAACATAATTTACTATTTTTATCATCGAAAATCTACACTGTCACAAACAGAAAAAACAACAAAAAACTATGCATATTTTGAAAAAGTATAGATATTCCTGAGAATTGTCAGTGACTAAGGCTAGATTTAATCAAATTGTACAGTTGATAATATTTTACTCATTAGTGTGGTATTACAAGTTGTCATTAAAAATTACGGCAAGCAGCATTCCTCAACAATTTGTGATTTAAAAAAATAAAAATGTTGTCAAGAGAAAAAATTATTTTCATTAACATAAATTACCTTAACCCTTGGCATGCTTGTCATATATTCAATATTATCATTTCTTAAATGTTTAAGTATTATTATTGTGCCTCTTTATTTATTTAAAGAAGTTATATATTTGTGCATACATATATATACAATATTTTGCTGTCTTACTATATATGGTTTTATTGATCATATGCTTTTATTGATGTAATGCTCATAGATCATATGTGATTTATTGCATAATAAATAGAGGATATTTGTTTAGTTCAGTGTAAAATCGGAATATATTTCACCGTGTGAGCACCAAAAGGTATATTTCACAAGTGGCGCAGCCATGAGTGAAATATGAACTTTTGGTGTTCACAAGGTGAAATATATTTCGATCTTACACTAAACTAAACAAATTTTCTTTTTATTATATGCAAAGAAACGTTTTTAAAAGACATTAAACCTAATACTGAATGAAAAGCGCGCCAAATAATAATACAACGTGACGTCATTTACGACGTCACGTCATTAAGTTGGTACCCAGTACTGTGCACGCTGGTATTTCACTGAAACAACGTAAGGGGCTTAAATTTAAAACAGTGAAATTATCAAAATGGTAATTTCACTGTTTCAAACAGTGAAATTACCAGTTTTATATCACTGATATATTTCTATAAACCACCGAAAAGCATGTAATAAAGCTTCTTATTATATTTTTCTATTCTGGAAAAACAGAGTGAGAGAATAATAATAATAATAATAATAATAATAATAATAATGATAATAATAAAAATAATAATAATGATAATAAAGACTTTATTTATAAAGGCAACATAGTTAAGCATGCCCAGTCTTCCCTATGAGCATCTATAAAATATACAATGTACATAATATAAATATTTACAAATGAAAGGTATGATAAACAACAGCAGAAATTACAAATTGTTAAGAAACATATAAAATAAAAATCTAGAAAATAACATTAAATAAGAATGTAAACATTGCATATTTATCATTTTATAATACAACTTGATGGGAAGAGAATGATCTGAAAAATTGCGCACAAGTTATTAGTCCATCCTACATCAAATTTAACACAAATCTCAAATAAAAATATTTCCATTCCCTCCTGTCAAAAAATCTCAGTGTTGTTAGCTCTTCATTTATATTTTAAAGATTTTTATGTTTAAAACTTTGGTCCATAAAAATCTGCAGGCATGCAGCTTTGAAACATCATATTCGTGTTATTGATTTAGTTTTTTTTACACTTTTCATATGCCATTGTTGTGTATACATTTAAATTTTATTTACATATTTATGCTGATGTGTATTTTGTACTTTTGTGTTATCTTTGGTTATTTGTTACTTGTCTGCTTTGTCACTAGAAAAGGATGGAAAGATAAATTTCCTTTTTGTTTTCATACTTATAAAACAAATGAGTTAAGATTAATTTTTTGAAATGTAAATTATGGGCTTTATTACAATCTATGATGCTTTATGAAGACATATGATGGTGAAAATTATAGAACAAAATACTTTGTTATTTAGATAAAAGTGTTGGGTTTTTTTTCACGTATAGGTATATTGATTATACTAAGAATTTGTCTGTATTCATAGTACACATGTCATGATAAGTTGTCACCTATCAGTATATTAGGATGCTTATTGATTTTGTCCTGTGGATCTAAGTCTGTGGAAAAATTTAACACTTGGGATAACACGCACCATATCAAATTCTCTGGGTGATATAAAGAATATTAAACCTTGTCCTTTTTGGCCAATTGTCATGGAATATTATTTGAACAGATTTAGGACTGGGGAAGGGTATTTGTGTCTTTTATGGTCAGGAGTTTTGTACATGTATATATATTTTCAAATTGTATTTTTTTTTCTATGCATAATAAAAAGTTGCAATACTATGAATTTTGGCTGAAAAGAGAAAAAAAAAAGAGGACATTTCATTATTTAAGAGATTTACTTGTTCTATATTGCATTGCTTTATAAATTTGTCAGCAAACTCATACAGCATGAGAAGTTTAATAGTTTCTTCTGAAAAAAAAAAACCCTAAAAAAACTGAACCAAAGGACTATGTGCATGCATCAGTAATAAGTTCCATAGATTAGGTGCTCTCTGTGAATATTTATGACATCCATTATGAACAATATATGAACAAAATATTTTTAAAATGGTGAATCATATTTATCAGGAAAAAAGTATGGATGACTGTGTCAAAAGTCCATAGAATCATTATGTAAATGACAATTATTTGGTAAATAAATGTTATAAGATGAATATTTATGCATGTATCAACTTTCTAGAAAGAACAATTTTACCATGACCGAAATGGTCAAGTTTTGAAAAGTTTTATTCTCATTTTTTGATATTTAATGTCTTTACTTTGTATGCATATTTTTTAATGCTCCTAATCATTTTTGTAACAATATATTCATTTGATTGACCATCCTTACTAAATGACAAGTATTGATTCTATATTAAGCAGCTCAACTATAGATTCATAGTGATTTTTTTAACTTCTAAATTGTTTAAAATATTATCTTGACCTAAATGGTGTTAAAGTTATCATGGGTGCTTTTTGCCATTCTTAATTTTGAATCAACTTGATTTTGTCGAAATATATGAAAAAGGTGAAAATTGTTTTTATAACATGGGAAATGCTGATGAAATTGTAAAGGCAGTCATACATTTAGAAAAGTGTTTTAATTGTTTTAGGATATAAATACAATCCAAAAACATTTGACTTTTCTTCCGAAGTGTTTGTAAACGATTTTTCATCTGAAGTAGTTGAGCTTTATATATCAAGAAGATAATTAGTAAATAAAAATATACTTATGAATGAGAGTATTATCAAATGATTTTTCCTCCAAGATTTGTAAAGTATTCTAAAAGACAAAAGATTTGATGATTAAATTGTTTAATATTGAGACACTTCCAGCCGTTTGAGTTTTAATTTGCTGTAATTTTTTACATTTTAATTTTAGTTTTCTTTCATTTAGTTAGGGTGGTCTTAACTTTGCAGTGTAAAGTGATATATATCTCAACCAACTCTGTACTGTGTTCATTGATTTGTATGCTTTCTTGATGCAATTATATATAATGCATTTTACTTGTTTTTAATTGAATTCAATAAAGAAAATTTAACCATTTGTATTAATTTGTCTTTATAAACATTCCTTTACCATTTTAATCAATATTATAATAATGCAGGTTATTTTAGTCATAGCCATTGGTACTAGGCGTATATCTTCAAATCATGACCGCATGACATAGGCATTTTAGCTAGCATGGTGATTTTGTCGGATATAATTGTAAAAATAATATGAACTTTAGGTATTTTCGTAATAAAATACACATATTTTCCGGAGCCCAACGTTGACAATACTTTTATTCGATTATGACGAGGTTAGCCTGTGTAATAGATTAGAGGATTTTGCTGTCAGTCATATCAACCATGTGGAGATATCCCTAAAACATAGCTAGATGCTTTAGTGATATAGGCACAATGTGTTCTTACTGTACATAAACTCTACGAAGCACCATATTCCGGAGTCATGGTCAGCCTATTTGTTCGATTTCTATTTATCTGCCGTAAAAAGCATCATTTTAAGGAGTAAACCATAACCCACACTTTGTTTCGTTTTTGTGGCAGATTTACCATACAATGCCGTCTTGTGCTGCCCTTTATGACAATATAAGATGTGACACGTATTTTCGTTAAAAGTACACATCTTCACGAGTCGTTCATAAAATACCTGTTCATTCGAAAACTTGCAGATACCGTAGTATGTTAGTGGTTCATCTGCAAAATAAGGCACAAAGTTCTAGGCCAAATAAAACGGCCCTTCATAATTTGAGCGTGGCATTTGTGTAAGAAGCACCATTTTTCAAAGCCCATGGTGACATACTAATTAGTTCGAATGCATTAAAATTTGGGCAGTGTAATATTAGGCTTATAGTGCTCGTCAAAGATGCATGATCGCCAGATGTCCGCGTACACAAGCCTTTGATTTCGTCTGTTAGTACACACTCCGGCATTCACATTGATCTCCCCATTCGACCGGCAATACGAATTAGCCAGTTCAATAGCTTAAAAGCCCCTCCTTACGGCATTTTATGGGCCAAGACAAATAGTCCCCTGAAACCCGCGTGTCATGGGCGTTTGTCAATAGAATGTCCACCAGATTCTGTCACATAATGGGCGTAAACAGAAGTCCTGTCTATAAACTGTACAAATTTTTGTATAATGATGCTTTTCCCCCCTAACCAACTGTGGCCGTTCCCCTCGGTACGTGCACGTCGTAGAAAAACACATGTCATCGGTAGATTTGTGATTTTTTCACCAATGACACCAACAACGCTTTTCAGGGCTAACCTCCACATTACTGTACATTAGCTTCTCTTGTACAGTGTCCTATTTTGGTTCAAAATTCATATATGTGGCTAAAAGTCCATGGATTTTGCATGGAAGTAATTTATCAGTACTTTGTGCTACAATATTAATCCTTAAAGGGCATGACTATTGATCTATTGAGTCTGATTTCATTGCGGTGTTGTCAGGTGCTGGTGTGGCATAGGTTTATATAATCGAGTTGATGAATTATTAGTTCTGCTGTACATAAGTTTTTGGCATTTTCGTAAAGATCCAACAATAATATACAAGTTCATTCGATTTCATTGCGAATTGTACTGTGTATTAGTTGCTTGGAATGTTTTTTTAATGCAAAAATGACACATGGAGCTAGCACAAGAAACAGGACGGCAATATGCCCGCTGTCCACAGGCCTTTAAGTCTGCTCCATGATTTCGTCTGTAAATTTTACATATTTTCGCTATAAAAGCTGGAAAGTTGCCATATGACCTATACAAGGTTGGTGCCACGTATAACCCAACCGTTTAAATCACAAGGTTAAGGGGACAAAATATCTCGCCATGTGCAAAGACATTAAACTAGCTAAAAAATTCCGATTAAGTATACATTTATAACTTTATGTAAAAATTCAACACCAACCGACATGTTTATCACTTTTATTGTCAAACATATATTCGTAACAATTCAAATGTAAAATAAATATATACCTGAGTGTACAGAACATGTTTAACGTAAAATAACAAAATAATAATAATAAAAAAATAAATAAAGAACTTATCAATATGATAAGGTATTTCCCTGCCAAATCAAACAGTTATAAATAAACAAAACGTTAGTAAATACATGTAAAATAAGGATAACGTCGCAAAACATAATGTTTACTTCCGAAAGTCCTTATATAGTAAATAATTTGACATAATTACGACGACAATTAAAAAAAAATCAACAAATATTTGTTAAGCACATATAATTCATACTACCTTAAATATTACACAACGCTTGTGTTAAAACCTTGATTATGTAAAAAACATGATAATGCCACCGTAAAGAAATGTAAATGTTCAACAATGATTTAGTTTGACTTCATAAGCACAGTATAATCGTAAGTAAAGATTTAAATATTCATACTTTACAATATACATTTATATCATTCTACATCAATGTGCTTAATTAAGATGTATTATTTAACAATATGGTAACAGAAAAAGTAGAGCATATACTCAATATATACATTATCAGTTCTGTGAAAATAGATCACAAAAGGAAAAACATTACATTATTATATATACCAGTCATCACCAGAATGGATTATCCATCCTATATTCATGTGAAAAAATGTCTTCCTTTGGTTGGTTGATTAACACGTTAAAAAAGTCCGAAATTACTCGATTACTTTTACATCTGCAGCGGGATCCAATCTGTATGCACATTTTTCTCTCTGGACACCGTCTGTATCTGCAACAGTTCATTCGTGGCCGTGCAGAGATTTCTGATAGCATTTGTAATACTATAAGGCAAATCAGTAAGTAGACTGCGTTTCTAGATTGCATCACAAGGTTTTTGTCAAACTGAAAAAGAAAAACAACAATATAGAATATTCTCTATTTATAATAATTTCTATTAGAAAATCAAAGAAAAAAGTAAAAGAATATTTCTTAGAAAAATAAATGTATACTACATGTATAAAATGATAAAGCGAATACTAGTAGTGATGAAGAAATAATACTAGTACATATATGTTCAAGAATTTCTTTCGTTTTGTGCCATAAGAATTGAAACGATTTTTAATTTGCTTTATTGAAAACAGAAGATTACTTCTTTAGGAAAATCTAGAAATAAGTAAAATGCATATATCGTTACCTCGATACGCGAAATATATATGTATAAACTTTCTTTTTCTTTTTATTTTGCTGTGATTATTTTAGTGTCAATAATTTTTGAGACCTTAGAAAAACTTTCACGCTTATATACTTTTATCACATCCGGTAGGGTAAATAATAAACATTCCACTTGACTTTGGATGCTGATTATGAAATTCACATTTTGAAGGATGATATCTAATCTACCAATCAACTATAAGATCGTTTGAAGTGTAAATGATACGTCACAAACTTGATTGATATTTACGTTCCGCATGAATTCCTCGCCTAACTGACAAACCTTGTCAATAAAACATATCGTTTGAAAAACATCACGTATGCAAACAAAATGAGATAAATCAGTCATAAATCAAGCGTTTACTTTTAAATTTAAATATTTTATCATAAACCCAGGGAGTGTTACTTTTTTCTGACCGAAAATTTATAGTAGTTGTCTATATTCTGTATGATACATGTTTATCAATAAATATGTTTTAAATTGCATCAGAAAAATAAATTTTAATCATTAAAAGAATGCTAATAACGTCATATTTCTTATCCAAGTTCACATTAAAGTTTTTTTACTTAGTCTATGCAATGAAAATGCGGGCCCACTTCCGACTACGAGAGAACCAAAAAGAGGTTTTGTAGAAGATCACAAGATGATGCTACATGCCAAAAGTTATAGCTCTGCACATTCTTATTTCCGAGAAGATTTTATTTTCACTATACAAGTCTATGCACACTAAGTGACCCAAGACCGGATCATCTCCAGATGCATTTTCCTATAAACGTCCCGGAGACAGCATTAGTTTTGACTCTAGTGGCATGATTCATATAACTTTTGTAGAGGACCACAAGGTGATGATACATGCCAAATACCTAAGCACTGGACATTGTAGTTACTGTTGGGAATATATTTAAATATTTCATTTTTGTAAATTACATTTTTAGCTCCTGTTACATAATTTTTTTATCAATCTGAAATCATTCATAAATTATATAACTTTTGTAAAGGGCCATCAAAAAATTATTCATGTGAAGTTTGGTCAAAGAAATTAAAGAGATTCAGGACAATGACTGGCAACGAACGACTGGCGACGGGCACATTGCCATCGCAAAAGTTTGCCTATGAGCACATTGTGCAATATTATGAAAAAGTTGTCATGTATTTGTTTAGCCGGAGGCTGTTTGTCACGGAATTGTCTTCATTTGAAATTGACATTGAATTTTCATTTTAACCTTTTCCTCTCACATGTTTTGCTTTTGAGCGAAGGGCATCTCAAAGAATTTTTTATTAATTGTTTCCCTTAGAATGTTGGACAATACGTCAACAGTTAATAACCTACTACTAAAGATTTTTTTTTCAATGCTGAAAATGCCTTTCTATTCAGTTCTTGTATTTCAGTGAAAAGGATGTGACTGGTCAAAGATGGGAAATGATCACCTCAAAATAGGACATTTTGTTCACTTTATAAGTACTACACAACTGCATATTCTCGAGAGTGCTTCCTACTGATCAATGTGTCACTATTCAATTTGAGCGAGTCTACAACGATCCCCTTTGAAATTTGGACAATAATCCAATGATTAATACCCTAATATTGAGTGAGTCCAACTAATTATTTTCTGCTAAAAATATGAAAATATTCATCTTCTTCTTGTATTTAAGTTAAAAAGATCTGTCTGGTTAAGAAAAATGATCACCTCATATGCGTATGCTAAAATGTATAACTTGTTTTCTTTTTAGTTAGTAAGTTGTTTTAATTTCATTTTAAAATGGGAAAACTTATATCATATTAAAGGAAAAAAGGGCATGTGTACTCGTATATCAATAACGAAACGAAATTTTACAACAGACAAAATTTTGACGTTATGAACATATTGTAGTTTCGCTTTTTTATTTTTTTATCGTTATAATTTTTATTTATTAATATTTTGCCTTTTTTCCTTGTTACTTAGGTAACATTTGATTTCTTCGTTTCATTTGTGATGAAACTATTTTAAATAAGTAATTATTCTCTGATATGAGTTTTCACATTTTGAAATGAATTCATGATGAATTGGAAGAATAAAAACGATAGATAAAGTGATATGTTTGTAATTTATTTGTTGAATTAAATTTTTGAAAGGAATTTTTATCGTATATTAGTTTGAAAATTTATGACTTTAATGAAAACACAAGAATGATGAATATTTTCTTTGTGCATGTGTGCTTGAGAATAATACTGTAACCCAAAGGATAGTTGCGACTGATCAGACAGGATTTCCATGCATGCATTGTCCATTTGAGGCAACCCGATTATTCCGTTAGTTTCTATGTGGGATTTCCATATAGTTCGTCCATCGGATGCACGAAAGTGAACAGACCTGGTTTTGTTTGGGGTCCTCCTGGGCTCCTGGCCGCTGGTCCTTGTTGCTTGGTGGTGTGGGGTTGCGTTCATTGAACGCCGCCTTTCCGTGTTGATCTTGTTTACCATATATTTGCAGCATTCTTTTTTATCGCAAACGAACCATCGGATGTCATTTCATCAACGATGCCAGATAAATGTGTATAGTTTCTTTTCTTGAAATTTCAGACCAGACAGGTAAATCTATATGTCATAGGGTTAAATTATTTGATAAACGCATGATACACATAAATGATATAGACACACACTAACTAAACATACACTATATATAAAAGTACTTATCTACATGATTGTATACAAGTATCTACATCAATATACTAACAATAATATACATAATAATAAAGTATAATTTGAACACCAAACTAAAGTAGATAGTCTATAATGTAGCAGTAGTTTATATATAGTTAGTGTAGTCGGACCTCCTTATACTTTCGTTCTTTACTGTATTTATTTCGATTAACCTCCTCTCTATCAATAACAAATCAATAACTAATCACTATCGAGTAATCGATATCCGACAAATGTAAACAGCCATTTATGCTTTAAAACTATTATCATCCCTTTTCGTAGTTATTTATTGATATATCTACAGGTAAACGTTTGTCTTAAATGCCTTATATGTATTTGTGTATTGTATTTCAATTGATCTGAATTTGTATTGTTAATTGTTTGTATTTTCCGTGTCTTATTATTGTTTATGTATGTCATTACAGGAGCGTATTTACCACGTAAATATAAACAGATTTTGTCGAACCAACCCGGGCCAGTGCTTTCGTTTTCATTAACCAATGAGTAGGCCGGCGACATATATGTCAGTATTTCTTTTAATGGATTCAGAGAATTGCCATTTTAAACAATTTTTTTTTTGCGTGTTTTACTATAGATAAGATGAATATATATCTACATCTAAGGATGAACTCTTAAAGTCGGTCCACTAGGGCAAATAACGTAATTGAATTTCATGAAATGATGACATCATGGTAATAGTTTGAAGGTAGTTAGTTACATCATTGAAGTTACTGTTTCTGTGATGTTATATAAGAAAACTTCACCCACTATGCTTTAAAAATGTTGAAAGAATATATTTTGTTGTTGAATTGTCTGTGAAAAGTATATTAAAAGTATGTTTTAAACTCCATTAACATGTAAAATTGTTCGATACGTTTTCTTATGCCCACCACTTTGTCCTTGTCCGCACGTCCAGCTGTCGCACTGTCACAGTGCTCCGCTGTCACGCTGCTCGTTCGTAGACTGACGTAACAGTTGAGTCTTGAGTTTGTTTGCATGGATCGGACATATGAGAATGTAGTTCCGATTGCGATAAACGCACACGCTAATCGTCAACGGATAATGCACATAAAAATCGTACATGAAAATCAAGCCTTATTCGCGTAATGCACCGAAGCGCGAATATAAGATTGCGTGAATAAGTTTGCAAGATTTTGGGAAATAATTTGTTAAAACCGTTTCTATTCTGTCAGGATCTGGGTCATATACCCATAGCAACCTTGCATGGAGAATAAAAGAAAATTAATGGGTCCAGCTGTTGTCCTTAAGCAGCTAAGTTTTGCAAAATCCAATAAACCCAATAGTTATTTCTATATGGCAAGTTTGTAACATTTAAATTATTTTCATTACAGACTGTACTGAGTACAATCCTTATTTTGCACGTTTGCTCACTATTGTTGTAAACGAAATGAAAAACAATTATCAATTTGTAGAATTTTTGTTTATTTAATTATTACAAAAAAGGAAGAGAACAGGATCTTTTAAATGATTTCTAAATGATGTGAAAACTGTTCATTGATGTATGGCAGATACTGCTGCGCTCACAAAATAACCGTTTTTCAACTTTTAGACAGCTTGTGTTCTTTCAATCCCTTTAATAAGAATTATTTTGATTAAAAAGGATCTATAAAATTGCTACAAACACAGTAGTTTTTTATCCAAAAGGATTTTACTTCTCATATGTTTGAATAATAAGCTGTCAACTGATTCCTTTGTTTTTATATTTTCTACTTTTTGAATCAAAATTCAATTTTTTTAAAAATATATCCATTTTTTCCAGTACATTTCTAAATTTTGAGTACGGTAATTTTGTCGCCAAGAAAGAAAGAAAAAAGAGAGAAATAGTAAATATTGCTTTAATACTTTTTTGTTGTTTTTTGTTTTCTTACGTTTACATGTAAGACAATTCCTATGTCGTCTTCTACAGCATCATCACCCTTTGAATAATGCTGTTATGCAATTTAACATCTGCATGTTCACCTTGCAAGACAGTACATAAGGACACAGGTCTTTCGGGTCAATCAAAGTCATTGTCGAACTTTGAGAGGTACACCACAATGATGGAAGACAAGCTATGTCTCTGAGATACCTTTTGCTTTAATTTCCACAAAAAATGCTGATTCTTACTGTTTCTGTAGTACCATATCTTTTAAGCATACAGTTCACTTTTACCAGTCGACATTGACATTGGTGAGAGCATGTTTCTAAGACATTTAACAAGCAGATGGTTGACATTGTTTTAAGCTATGATGGACCAGCGTACTGACACACTGGAATTAAGGTCTGTATTGATTACGTCACTGTCATACTGCCAAAATAAGTAAAAATCCACATATCTAGAATACAGCTTAAGGACAATAAATGGTACAGAAGAATATGTCATGGTCTGCAGGACAAAAAGTTTCGCCTTCCTGTCATATATAGCTTTCTTCTCTCTTTGAGCAGTTCTTCTAGACTAAGGGTCCAATTATCCACTTTCTGCTAGGCAAACGTTCAACTTCACTACAAACCCTTAAGTTCAGGTGTTATAAGAAGTATTTTGTTGGAGTAGAGAAGACTAACAAAAGTTTTCTTGAGATTAATGTTAATGTTAAATGGAACCATCTGGCTCACAAGCAGCAGCTTTCCAAGTTGCCAATGGAACGTCACAATTCCATCATGATGAATGCCAAGAGATTAAAAATCGTGTTTGTTGAATATCTCGTAGGTCACTTGCCACTAGGAAATAAGCTGTCTGGTAAATGTACAAATCATCGTCTGTTGATGACAAATGATAAGGGATACAAAGCCATCACAACAGTTGGAAAGAATTTGTGATACAACGTCAAAAGGCAGATAATCCTAAAATTGTACTTTGCAAAGTTGCACCCCTTTTTTACTTCAATTGATTAACCTTTATGTTTAGGTTTATTTCACAAAAGCATCATAGATATTCACTTTTTAATTTAAATGATTGTTCTCTTGAAAATTATAACGCAGTTTATAAGAGCATATGACTCCTTTGAATTTTTCTTTATTTTTTATAGATTTCCATCAATTTTTGAAGTACTTGTTAAATATCAAGTCAAACTTTCTGTCAAACAGTTTATCAGAACAATGCCCTTTTCTACTTTGCTTTATCATACTATCAGTTACTGAGAAAAGTGGAGTGAATATCTGTGATGGTTATTGAGAAATTTATAAAAATAAAGGGTCATATGTTCTTCACATTTATATGCCGATGTAGCGAAAATTCTTGGTCACAGAGTCTGTGGAAATACATGACTATATCGATTCTTCATCTCCTTACCAGCAAAACAAAATATCAAAACTACTTGAGAGTATATACCGAAATCACCTACCTCTCTGACTGCGAAAAGTTCTCCATCTTGAAATTCTATACTGTAACAACAAAGCGTGATATTTTAACACGTTAAAACGATAAGTTGCGTTTTCTTAGACTAATTTATTCAGTATAATACAAACGCCTAGTCTGCCTTTACACTGGCCAAAAGTTATCTACTGAAAGCACCTGCATGAACCGATTATAAAGTCTAACACATTATTTCGACAAATTGAGTCAAGTGACTGAAATAAATTGATGACAGGAAACTCTGCAGGGGTCCAGGCTCCAATAAAGAAGGTTTGAGTGACCTGTTTTTATTTTAAGCCAGCTTTGCTGCTATTTTCCCTTTTTGATAGAAAAATACATGCCAAAGCGTCTGGGGAGGGGGCTTCAGTTCCTTAATCCCACTGTGGATCCATGCCTGGAAAAATGTATATTTTACTACCGAGTCCATATATTGATTGTTGAAACGTAATGTAAATGCGACAGATGGCATAGAGATGTAAATCATGTGACCAAGTTAGTTCGTTACGTTTTAAGAGCTTTTTTGAATGAATCGTAGACATGCTTACATGAGTAGACTTATAACACGGGTACATTTTAAGATAATTTGGAGTATTTAGTTTTAATTACATATTAATTTTGTTTTGTGTAATCTTTTTTCCTTATAGTTAAACAAAATGACAGAAAATAGGAGAAGAAAAACAAAGATGGGGGAAGTTTTTGGTCAGGTCAAGCAAATCTTTTGTCAATCATGTTTAAATAGGGAAAAGCAAACCATTGCTAAAAAGTTTTGTCAAACGTGTAATGAATTCCAGTGTAATGAGTGTTCGAATGTGCATAATGTGCTCCTATTCTTGAAAAATCATAAATTGGTGGATGCGGAAGAAGCTAATGCTTCAAGACTATTGCTTGATATGAAAGGATTTGATCGATGTGATCAACATAAAAAACCATTAGAATTCTATTGTGATGATGACAACACGCTTTGTTGTAGTACTTGCGCCATTTTGGATCATCGTAAATGTCACATCGTTGTAGAAATTGAACAGATTGCCGAGGAAATGACGACACTAAGTTCCAGACTGGAGGAAAAATTGCAGAAAACAAAAGAAAAAGCTGAGAGTATTGCTAGACATATTCTCTCTGCAAAAGATCAACTTGCTCAAGACGTTAATGACTTACTAGTCAAGATTGGGGGAATGCGAGATGAGGTTATGAAACTGTTCGACAATTTGGAATTATTTGTCGTCAATAGAGCTGAAAGTCTTCAAGAAAAAACATTAATTAAACTGACAGAGAAGCAATCACAAAACGAAAATTATTTAGCTTATGTAACAGAGTGTCTAGAAAGGATTGACAGCATTAACAAAAATGGAAATCATGTGCAGAAATTTATTGTAGAACAGAAAATGGAAAATGAAGTCAATATTCTATGCAGAAACGTAAGAGAGGAATATCAAAACTTACAGACGGTGTCCATTTCTTTTGATTTTGACAAAACATTAAGGCTACCGCCACTACCAGTCGATACTTATGTTCCTGGACAACTACTATTAAAGTCTTATCAACGGGATGATTCAGGTTCTGACGATACGGCGATATCATTAACTCTAGTTTCTTCCATTGATTTGAAAGCACCGGAGGATGATATTTATGAACCACTATATTCCGGAATAGATTTTCTCTTCGATGGTAGACTGGTTGCTGTGGATAATTCAAACAACAAATGTTTAGTGTACAACCAGAAGCTTGAGGAAGTAGGAATATTTGATCTAACTAACCGACCACAGTCTGTTGTAGCTGTATCCGATGAAGTAGTAGCAATAACAAGTGGTGACAAATACGAAATAGAGTTCTTACATATAACTAAGTCTAACAAAATAACATCATGTAAAAGATGTAAAGTGCAAACAAAATATGACTCCATATGTTTAAAAGACGATAGGCAATATGTCGTAGGGACTATTGGTCACAAAAGACATGCTCGTATTGTATCATTAACTTGCGAAGAGTATGACTTAGGTATAGACTTTGAAAATAAGATATTTCCTATAGACTCAAGCTATTGTACTTACATTAGTAACAGTGACAAAGTTGTGCTTACGGACAGAGATGAGCATACTGTCTTCATATATGATATCGAAACAAATACAAGCGTGCCTGTGATTGATGATAGGATACAGGAACCATGCGGGGCAGCAGTTGGTCCTGCTGATACAATCCTTGTTTGTAGTCATAACACAAATGCCATTGTACAGGTCTCCCAAACGGGTCGGATCTTGTCATCACACGATATGGATATTGATTTACCATATAGAGCATGTGTGTCACACGACAAATCATTTCTTGCTGTCACAAATACTTGTGTTGGAAACAAAAAACTACAGAAATTCAAAATTTCATAAAATAACTCAAATTCATTAACATTTACTTACACCACTTAGAAGATTTATTTACAAACAACAAAGTGTGATTAGTCATGTGTTCTTGACTTATTTTCGTTTCTGAATGGCATATAATTGTTGATGATAACATTGAAAGCATCTAAATTAATCAATGTATAATATAAGTTAAAAGTGTATGTACATAAGTCATAAGCCATAAATGATTTAGGCAATGTAATATCAAATATAACATGTCTAATGAATGATATACATGTATGTTTACAAAAAATCATCAATGTTTACTCATTGGTAAACTATTGTCTTATTTGAAATTTGTTTATACATGTGTGATATATTGTTTTGTGTCATATTTCATATATATTGTTTTATTTATTTTATTCATTTTTCTTGTTGTTTTGTTATTTTCTCATCTATATATGTGCATGTAAAATTTGTTAACAAATCTTGTAAATATGGCTCTCATTTCGTTATAATTCTATATTTTCCTTTTTAAAACTACAATATGTAATGATATATTTGAACTTATTTCAGTTTTATTCAGCAATCATGCTCCACCTTATTCCCCTGTCTATTAAACATGTATTTTTCTGTTACACAGTTCACCATAAATTTAAAAATTAAATTGGTTCATGATTCTGGCATTTTTATAAGAACACTGCTTACTTAATTCGACCTTTAATTAGATCGGATATTATAGCAGTATCGGTCAGGTTAAAAAGAAATCATTTGAATAATTAAAATATAAAATAAAAGTATTGTAAACGTTTACATGAAAGTCATGTGAGGAAATATAAAATTGCTGTATGTCTAAACATAATTCATTATAAGTCTCATATTAGGCTGACTCGAGACGAATATAGATATCTACCTGAAATTATATTCTTTGGTTTAATTTTAGTTTCTTTACGTTATTGCTACATCAAGCTATAATGTACATCCTCCAGAAAATATTCTAAATATAGAAAATAAAACATTGTAACGTTCTAATTATTTACTCGTGTTATATTTTGAATGTATAGCAGGTTAAACAATCGTAGCTGTTTGATTATTTTTTATTCGTTAACAGCTTAATTTTAAACCTTTCTATTTTGTCGTTTATGATAGTGAAAATTACTTTAATTGATAGCCATTAGGAGAAGGGGTGATATTAGTGTTTAGATCTTGTTATGGTCCTGCTTAAAATGTGTCACTATACAATGTTGGTTATGCATGCAACATACAAGATATTTATGGTTCCAGTCATGGAACCTGTGCACTTTCACAAAGTCCCCTATTTGTACATAAACATATAAGGAATAAATAGTTCACAATATTTATTGTTTGGCAAAATCATCGTGAGATTAATTTTCGGAGGTCATGAGTTAGTTTCAGTGTTTTATTTTGTTAAACGCATCGGGTTTTAATGATAAGATAAATATCAATACTGTAATCTGCAAATCACTAGAACAATTTTAGGATATATATCATTTATAAGAATTTTATATGATTTTATTTAGATTAACATTCATTTGTAAATATATCATCCTTTGTAAATAATTATTTAAATTGTTAATTGGAGTTTTCAGATTGTATATTTCCGGTGTCACCACTTATTCCGGCTTGTGACAATAATCAATAATGGTAAACACACGATTGTCCAGTGGCATGATCTTGAAAGGTCGATGGCGAACGCGCGATTTAATAAATATTTCTTAATTCGTGATTTGTTAATAATTTACTTTCTGCAAATAGAGCAAAATAAATTCCATGTAAATCACTTTTTAATTGTGTTTGTATTATTATTATTATTATTATTATTATTATTATTATTATTATTTTCCATGTTTTATGTTGTATCATGATTTATTGAATTTCAGAACAAGATCACTTTTAACCTTATGTTATCATAGATTAACATATTTATATCTGAATAACATGTCGTCAAAATGCAAATGAGTACAAAATATATATACAAAGCATATATTTGTCACCAAAGCCTAAATTAAACTGGAAATTAATCTCTTTTTTATAAGTTTAGAGAAAGATTAAAATTACATAACTAAGAAGATCATATATGTTTGGACAAAACTCAAAACAAATATTTATCAAAAATATATCATATTTCCTAAGGTGTACGGTATAGACATGTAAATTTAACTTCCGCATTCCGAATATCTATTGTAGTAACGAAATGTAAATATACGACAGATAACGTACGGGTAGATCATATGACTAGTTCATTTTGTATATCGGTTTAAATCAGATTATTTTGATTCATTGACTCAAACAGTGTGAGGATATTAGTACAGTTCCGCTGATTGATGTCATGACCTCGACGATTTAAAATATAACTGCTTAAACAAGAACAACAATATCGTTAAACAAAATGGCGGATTCTTTGGGGAAATTAAAAGAGGACGATGAAGCTCCTTGTTCTGGGAACGATGAAGTTCCCGGTTCTATCAAGGGCATTCTGTGTCAATCGTGTTTAAGTAAGGATAAGCAAACTGAAGCTGAGAAGTTTTGTTTAGATTGCAACGAACACCAGTGTACTGAATGCATTAAAGTACATAACGTACTTTCTATCGTCAAAACTCACAAATTTGTGAATGCGGATACAGATGTAATGAAACAACGATCCTTTGATATAAAGGGATTAGAGCGATGTAATCAACACAAAAAGTTGATAAAATTTTTCTGCGAAGATGAGAATCAGCTCTGTTGTAGTACCTGTGCTATAGTTGACCATCGTAAATGTGAAAGCGTTGTAGAAGTTCAAAAGCTTGCTGGGAATTTGATGTCTTCAAATTCATTGATAAAGGAAAAATTGCTGGCTATCAAAGAAAAGGCTGAGGGCATAATTGAACAAATCATGTCCTCAAGAGAGAAATTAGACCAAGACGTAAATAGAATTCCAGAAACAATTAAACAAGTGCGAGATGAAGTTATTCGAATGTTTGAAGATTTGGAAGTTTCCATCGTTAAAAGAGCCAAATCTTTTCAGGCAGAATCACATACAAAACTTACAAAAAGGCAAACGCGAACCGATAATTATTTATCTGATGCAAGAACGCGTTTGGAAACAATTGATAGCGTTTACAGGAATGGAAGTTCAGCTCAACAATTCATTGTAGAACATATCATGGAAAATGACGTCAAAACTCTCTACACAAACGTTTCTGAGGAATATCAAAACTTAGAGACGGCGAGTGCTTCTTTTCATTTTGACGAAACAATAAATCTGCCACCACTTCCAATTACTGAATATGTTCCGGGACAACTCACCTTACAGTTTCTTCGACAAGGAGATATGAGTGCAGATATGTCATTAACACCAGTTTCTTCTATTGATTTAAAGAAGACGGGAGATGACAGAAGTGAACCGTTATATACAGGAATAGACTTTCTACCCGATGGAAGAGTGGTAGCGGTTGATAATGAAAACAAAAAATGTTTAGTGTATAATGAGAAGCTGGAGAAAGTAGGATCATGTCAATTATCCTATGTCCCACAGTCTGTTGTTGCTGTAACTGAGGAAGAAGTAGCGATAACAAGTGGTAGCGATTATAGAGTAGAATTTTTTAAAGTTAGAAAATCTAACGAAATAATTTCATTACGAAAATTTGAAGTAAAAACGAAGTACGACTCTATTTGTTTAAAAGATAACAGACAATTTATTGTAGGGACTATTGATTACCAAAGACCTGTACGTATTTTAACATTGACAGGAGTGGAAAAAGATTTTAGTATGATGTTTTCGAACAAAACATATTCTTTAGACGCAAACGCTTGTACTTATATTCGGAGCAGTGACAAAGTGGTGATTGCAGAAAGATACGAGCATACGGTCTACATTTATGACGCCAAGACAAACACGAAAGTAGAAGTAAAGGATGATCGAATACAGAACCCATGCGGTGTAGCAGTTGGTCCTTCTGATACTATCTTTGTTTGCAGTAATGGAACAGACTCCATCGTGCAGATATCACAAACAGGTCAGATCTTGTCATCACACAAGATATATATGGATTTGCCGTATAAGGCATGTGTCTCACGTGATAAATCATTTCTTGTTGTTACAAATAGTTGTATTGGGAATCTTAAACTAAAGAAATTCAAAATATCATGAAATAACTCTAACTTTGATTCGGAATTTATTTGCATCGATCGCACACAATGTTCTCCAAGATGAGATTAATAGAACAGAAAGAATAATATGTTTGCTTATAATATAACACGGGTTTTCTATTCGTGCACAAACTAGAATCGTTAATTATAGTGCTATGATTTGTGTCATTATTTACCGTAGTCCATCTGAGAACGAGTTAACTTCTTGTAAAATGGTACGAGGATAAATGTAATAGAACTCAGTCATGCGTTTTCATATTAAATTAAATCTGGAAAATTTTCATATGTTCGGTGATCGTAAAATGTTTTCTACAATTTGAGCATAAGCTTACTGACCTAGAGCACCAGGGAATTTGTAAATTTGTAAATTTCACAGAATCGTTATTTTTAAGCATAATTTATGATTTTGTTCACTGTATCTAGAGAACAAAACATCTTTAACACACAAATACTGCAACATCATTTTTTTAGTGACTTGGTTTCTAATGAAATGTCTGTAATACAACATATTTAAATGTTCATATACTAAATCACTTGCATTTTATTTATTTCAAGCAATATTTTATAAGAATATCCAAATAAAATAATATGTGTTTGTTTTGAATGTTTTTACGACGATTTTATGGTCACTTGCGTACCGGAAAGCCGGTTAGGTGGATTGACCGCTGTGATTTGAACAACTATCTGTTCAACGGGATAGGCCTGTATAATAACGGCTTTAACAAGCTGAAAGTCTTGCATTCATAAGAAACTCTGCGAAATTAGTTTGTGGTACCCATGTGTTCCGGATGCTACGATCTATATAAAAAGATCACACAATCTTTTCCCTCTTTATCCCCTCATGGTAAATGTATCATCTTGAAAAAGATTTTATTTTATGATGTCTTCATTCGTGATTTAAAAGTGATTATTAATATTCACAAAATCTTACCCCGCAGACAAAGTGTAACCTCGGGACTTTTTTAACTAAATAATGGCATCGCAAACTACTGTAATAATTATATCGGTATATAAATGTACAATGACCACCAATAAATTACTAACAATTACATGTACCACCAAAATGGCTGCCACTTTTTTCAAGGGAGCTAATTATTGTAACAACCAGGAACTACCTTTACAACAGTTTTGTGACCTTGAACATAAATAAACAATCCAATCAGTTACATGAAAGTTTTAATTCTAAAATAAAATTTGATGATAAGTTTTCAGTAAAAAAAAATGCATATATTCAGACGATTCTTTAAAATTAAACGACAGTTGTTTATTCTCTACTTATTTCATTTTTATATATCAATCTTTCTGTTACTTTCTATGCAAAAACAATAAATGACAATAATTTAGATAACCTTTCTACTTCATTTTTGTATTGGAGTTAACATGATAAGTTCGACTTACTCGTTTTATGAAACACACACCACTAAATCACACTTGATTGAGGCGGAAAGACCTTCATTTCGTACCCATTCGGACTGAGAAACTATACGTGGAGGTAGAGGTCTCTAGAAAATGCTTTTAAATGGTGTTGTTGCTTTAAGAATACAAAATAATTACCACCAACTAGCTGCCACGTTTTTCAAGGGAGCTAAAAAATCAGGAACTACCTCTACAACAGTTTTATGTTTAAACTACAACAGTTTTATGACATTATACATAAATTAACAATCCTATCAGTTAACGTGAAAGTTTTCATTCTAAATCAAAATTTGATTATAGGTTGTCAGTCAACTAATTTTCATGTATCCATACGAGATTATTTTCATTGAGTTTCGAGTCTTTTTGCTGATCATGCAAGGTTTTTCATTCGAGTCATTTAAATGAAGTTGGTGTAAAAAGTAATTCCAACTTATGTCTTTTTGTTACTTAATGTTATCATATTGATAACACAGAAAACAAAACAAAAGCATAAAGTGACTGCCCAATAAAGTTCTGTAAACTTCAAAATAAAACAGAAGAAACAATTTTATGTGGACAACATAACTCTATTACAATACAACATTATTTATTCAAAGAGTAACAACAAATACAATGAAGAGATCAAATAAGATTTGGTTTCTTAGAAAATGCTATATCATGTTAATGAGTTAAATTCTATTCAGGTACTTTTTGTTCTACATTATTTATAGATTGAAAGTTGTCTCCTATTTTACTAAGGAGGACAAAGTTTTTAACACAGTTTTAAAAATATGTATATAAAAGAGTCTAAAATAGTGTTCATTTAGTTCGTATAAAAACATGTTTAAAACATTTATCGATATTCATCTATATAAGTGCTTTGATATAAACTATTACCAGTATATGACGTATTGATCTGCATGTTATTGATACCATGTATATAAATTACGTATATGGTTAAAAGTTAAACGGTTTTTGTTAAATCGTTGATCAACTTTTAAACCAAGTTATCTTAACATTGATAAAATAATTTGTATTAATCATAATTTTTATATTCTAAAAATATTTAAGTAGCAATTTAATTGAATAAAGAAAGAAATAATGCAAAATCATTAAGTTTATCTCATCATCAATTGCTTCTTTTTGTTTGTTTTGGGTTTAACGTCACATCGACACAGTATAGGTCATATCGCGACGTTCCAGCTTTACTGGTGGAGGAAGACCTCAGGTGCCCTTCCGTGCATTATTTCAGGCACGAACGGGCACCTGAGTAGAACCACCGACGTTCCGTAAGCTAGCTGGATAGCTTCCTCACATGAAAGAATCCAAAGTCCCTGTCGGGATTCGAACCCACAGCGGTGAGGGGCAAGTGGTTAGAAGTCAACGACCTTAACCACTCGGCCACGGACGCCCCCTATCAATTGTTTCAATGGCAGCAATGGCACCATAAATCCAGATATTCTAGAAGTTCAAGGATCTACAAAGAGAAAAATTGTGCCAACTAAGTCAGGATAACCGTACAGTCCGGAGGAAATTTTGTATACATTGCAATGAATTTTCAGTGTACGGAATGTTCAAATGTACAAAACGTGCCGTCTGAAAACTCATTAAAACATTTTTGTCCAAAACTAGGTTGTAGTCATTGTGCAATATATGTGATGATAAAAGTACAACAGCGATATTTAAATTGTAAAGGTAATCAGAAAATTTATATAGCAAAGCTTACATTTAGTTGATAAATTACTGGAACCAGAAAAAGATGAAGCAATTGCAAGGTTTGTCCACTTCAGTGCGATCGTCAGCTTAATACAAATTTCATTCTTATGATAAAAATAGATAGCACACGATCTTGATAATAATGACAAAATGATGTGTAAAATTCATTTTTAAGCATGACACAGGTATTAGTGTGTACCATCAACTTAACATTCTCAACAATTATATCAGATTTGTTTAATATTCTTAAAATATCATATGTTAACTACGAACTGTTTCATAATAAACACATGGAATGTCGTGCCGCGAACTCATGAGATTATTCGGAAGTGTAGAACACTGAGTGCATTAACTTGTACTAAACAACACCCACTATCAGAAAATTTAATATCTACACACAAATATGCACTAAATATCTAAGACAAAATAGAACGATGTAGTTATTCCAAAATTTAGTTATTCCAAACACGTTGTAAGCGGATATAATGTCGAATTTCACATCCTTTCAGGCAATGGATCTCGAACCCTTTCTACGACATCGACATTCTGATCCAATCGCGTGACAAAAGTGGGTTGAGCGAGGACATTTTCTGACCCAACAGCAAAAGTTTGTCTGATGCTTCCGTTGTCCATTGACATGTGCTATGCTTCCTAGAAGAAGCACTGATAGTAGCAGAATAAGTCCAAGTTTCGTCATTGTCGTGGTTCTTTTTACTACAAAATGAAATGTTGATAAAATAGATAACTTGAAGTAAGATAAATAAAAATAAAATACAGTTAATGAGTATCCGTAATGTTTTAAATTGAACACAATTTTTGCTGAATATGTGGTAATATCAGTGAATAAATCGAGCGTCAGATATGTTTTTTAAAAATTCATTTAAAAAAGAGCAAGCTTGTGGAAACGTTTTTCTTTAAAATATTTTCCATTTTATTTCTTTACTCAGGTAAAAGATAAAATAAAATACCGAAAACAAATTGATATCCAGATATCTAATATAGAAATGAAATGACAAACTTTTGTGAATGCTTCCTGATACAACAAGATCAATAAAAAGATTTTTACAGACCATCCAGGATAAAGTGTCAACTCGTCAAATAAATTCAGAATGTTTATACACGTTCGCTTTCTTGTGCTTTCTAAATATTTAGTAAAATATCATTTACAAGGGACTTTCTTGTATATCGGACATATAAATAATTATCATTGTTTAAAAAGCATTTACCGGGGTCGGTAGTTTCAGTGCCTGAAAGCGCGGATGGACCCCCATTAAGCCTTAAATACATACAAAAGCATTTATGAAAGCTGTTTATCTTGGATGAGTATTGTTATAAGTAAACAATACACAATGTCATTTCAACAATGAACAGCAAATGGGAAGTTCTGAGAATTGTTTTCTCTTTCGATATTTGTGGTGCTTTGTTTTTTCATGTATTCTTTTCTTGCGAATAAGTAAAATGATTTGAGTAAAACAATATCATTGCCATTATATATTATTTGTAATATGAAGAAATTCGATGCCATTAAAGATTTATATTTACATGTATATACATGTATATTAACAAGTAACTTTATTCAGTGTTCTAACAGAGCGTGATGTTTGAACATTGTCCGTTTTAGTTCGACAATAACCCATGTTTTAAGGAATGCCCTGCGTAATACCTGCTACTTATACTGACATGTTTGGCTATAAAAGTTTTTAAGCACTGGTAAACATTTACTGCCTTGATCAAGTTTTTTTTGTTGGTTATAAATCAATGCAAGCGAGATAATTATCTCATATAAATGGTCGTATTCGTTAAACTCTCTAGTTTTAAGAGATCAATCCTTAAATGATATGAATCTCATACAAAATCTTGGAGTTAAAATCACTTAAGGAAATTCCTTTTTAACATGACCTTATAATCATTTTTTTCTACGGTAAAACTTCATTTAAAAACAGTTTTTCTCGTAAATACCGGATGGCGAGCACTGACTGTATTTAAAAACAGTTATTAAATGTTTACATAGAAAACAGGCATGTCACCCAGACAATCCATACAACATTTTGCTATCACTTCGCGCGTGTGAACACTTCCCTGCCCCCCCCCCCCCCAAAAAAAAAAAATCGAACATTTTTTCTCTGAGAAGTAATAAAAGATAAGTTATGATGATTTTTACCAGAATATTTTAATCATATCACCATATATGTTCATGCTCAATATATCCGTTCCGCCGCCATATTTAGTTGTTTTATAAACTTTATATTAAGGTCTGAAAAATTAATATAAATTCAATTAAGCATCACAGAAATAGAACTTGTAATGCATTGTGTCCCTCATTTGAAATGGCTTGGGACAGCACACTCTCCATTTAGTCGCTCGTATACTTTTAAATAAATAACATTCTCATTAATAATTGTAAATGTTATCATAAATAATTTACATCATTTCAGCACTAGCCAATTAATAGTTTTTTTAAAATTGTATCATGATCACAATCACATCAGCTAATGGCGGCCACTTTAAACGGTATACATATTTAAAGTAAAGAGAATCTTGATAATTGAAAATTACATTAGCATTAAAAAAAGTCACATTTTAATGTGGTACTGTTCAGCACTTGGCAATATTGGCAATCAAATTATATCATGATCAATATCATATCATATCATCTACGTTTACCGATACGTCGGATGGGGCTAATTGCATCCACTTCAAATTAACGGTGTTATATCATGTTATACTTGCCGATATTCCGATCCTTATAATAAATATATTGACGAGTATATTTTCATTTTATATATATGGTATCAAAATTTGCAGAAATATATTGACTAACACAGTAAAATGAAATTTGATTATTTTCAAAACTTTGGTTACGTGTAAACAGCTGAGAGAAGAGAAAAAAAGTAATAGTGTTGTGCCTTTTTGTTTTTTGGAAACTTGAACTTTTTAATGGAATACCATGTAAATCGAAGTCCACATGGTGTTACGTCAGGTGCATGCAGTTCCACACACTTTCGTTGATCCCTACATGAGATGAACGCAACAGATACTTATAAATGGTCACATAACATTTCAGCAAAAGCATTAAAAAGCATACACAAATTTTCAACTTTTATTTTTCACTCTTCCGATCTATACACGAAATTTCTGATAATTATCAAATTTAGATTATGATTATACCATTGTATGTTCAATACATTTCTGCAAATTTTGATACCATATTGGAAACCAATTAAGTAACCAAGTTTACACTTACTTTTGCAACTGAGTATATTCATTAAAATGCAAGATACAAATACAAGTAACGTGGAGCACCAGTTTGTATTAACAATAAATTACAAATTACTAGGTAGTTGATATGTGATTCAATCCGAAAAGAAATATCATGAAAATAAAACAGTCAATATTTTTATATACTTTATTATAAAACAAACATTTATAACATATAATGTAAAATGAGCAAAAGACTGATATAAAGGTATATTCATTTCACATAAAAACAAAACAACAAATATATAAACAACTTTAAAAAAAAAAGTTATCACTGTAAAAAGGCGTTAAACCCGTTCAAATAAATAAATAAATCAATCAACCAACCAATCAATCAATCAATCAATGAATCAATCAATCAATCAATCAATCAATCAATCAACCAATCAATAAATAAATAGTACATCATGTAAAAAATGTCCAAGCAAGAAATAATTTCACATCATTACGTTGGACTGGAAACAACAAATATGTCTTTTTAATTAGATCAAATAGTAACGATACTATGTTTATATCACATAAAATAAATCTTCTAACGTATATTATAATATTTTACAGTAAATCATTTGTTGAAATTGAAAAAATGTTCCAGAAAGTGCAGTGTCATTTTCACTTCATATATTCACAGTATTACTGTAACTAAGACTGTAAATATGCATAGTTTACAGTTTTTACAAAAATATCTAAATTATAGATCATCGTCACTGAATTGATCTGGAACGTGTACCAATGTTTAAAAAGTTAACACAAAAAGTGTCAATAAATCACAGTAGGTTGGTTATCACAAAATGAATTAATACATCCTCCATCACCAGAATTCTTGATCATCACTGGCTTCAAGTGAAAGTTTTCGTTCCTTTTGCTGACTTAAAAACATGTCCAAAATTTCTGAAATTACTCGGTTACTTTTACATCTGCATCGGGATCCAATCTGTATGCACATTTTTCCGCTTGGACATTTTATGTACCGACAACAGTTCGTGTGTGGCCGTGCAGAGATTTCTAATAGCATTTGTAGCACTATAAGGCATGTCAGTATGAAGACTGCGTTTCTAGACTGCATCACAAGGTTTTTTCTTCAAACTGAAAGGAAGTAAAACAACAATATTAAATATTTAAAAAAAATTCTGATAGTTAAGGAATTCAAATAGAAAGTAATTGTCCACTAGTTGCAAAATAGAAAAATAAACAACATTGAATGATATTCTTTTCATTTCGGCTCCTAAAAAGATGATATGTTCTTTACATTAGATCGCTAACTGAAATTAAATTTATAAGGAAAATCTTTAAACTTATTAATTGCATATAATGTTACCTTGGTGGATATTGAACAATGTTCTAAACTTTCTCCTGTTAAGTTGTGTTTATGTTAGTGTAAAGAAATGAATATGAGACCGTAAGACAAACTTGCACACTTATATGCTTTTTATTATATCCGGTAAATATAGATAAACCTCTTGACATAGGATGTTGATTGCAAATTGCTCTTATCAAGGGATAATGCCTAACCAGCCAATCATCTATAAGATCGTTAGAAACGTATTTGACACGTCACAGAAATTGTATTGATATTTACGTTCCGCATGAATACCGCGCCTAATTGACCAATGTTGTCAATAAAACATATCGCTGAAAGATCACGTAAGAACAATTTAGAATGAACGCATTTTGTGGCAGTATAAGGGTTGGTTTATTAGTCTCCAACAGGCTAGTGTCAAATTTAAACACATATACACGCACGCACACACACGCACACATACGCACACGCGCCCCCGCGCACACACACATAACAACAACAACCATCGGTACCATTCTGATGTAAGTATATTTCTAATAATTAGGTAATGTTATTCATCACATATATTAAAGAATTGCACAAATCACGAGAAATAGCTTATAACTCTGCTTGCAATTTTTGTTAGCTTTATATATTTAAGAAATAACACCGCTCAGACCGATATTATTTCGATTCTAACACGATAAAATAAGGAAGACCACTAATGTTATTTTTAAGCGGAAATAACTTCGATCAAATGTTATCGTTAAGAACGACATTATTGTTGTGTATGCATGTTTGTGGTGATGTTTAGTTGTTTCAATTTGATTTTTTTTCTAGTTTGGGTGGTTCAAGTTTTCCTACTTGAATACTATTAAATCAACGTAAATATTTGTCGTCTGCTTTTCCAAATGTGTGTCTTTTTGCGTCTTATCTGTGATATGCAGGCTTCATAACCTTTGATCCTCTTTCAAAATTACATTTTTGTTTAGTTCCGCCCAAGGTTTCCTCGTTAAGAGCATATGCATTTTTTTACTTGGAGTCCATACGCCGCTTTTCATGGAATGACACGACGTGTCGCATTTAATGTTCAACGATAACAGCCGTATGAACACATCTGTGGATGTTCATAGTTTCACCATTCTTTATGTTTTAATGTTGAATTCTGGTTAAGCCGGTGATGGGGTCAGGGGCAATGGCTTACAGTTACCACTACCGTCCAACAAGCCGTGCCTGTAACATTTTCGGTTTCGGGCGACCTTTAAGGATTCTGTTTTTCTCCATTCTTAAACGACGTTAAAATATTTCAATATTGTGTAAAATATAGAATAAATCATTATTCTAATAGTATATGCAAGTAAAATAGCAACAAGTTATGTTATTAAACGAAAGTGAAGTAAAACAACTTTTTCCCGTTTAAGCTCGACTTTTTTTAGGAATAGGGAGAGCTGTTGTATACACGGCGTCAGTGACGCTGTCCTACTGATTGCTCTTGTTAAACGTTTATTTCTGCATTAGCGTGTACGGATGGTAACCAAAACAAATGTATTAATACAGAGAATTACGAAGCCCTTTATACGCTTGGAAAATGATAAGTAGCGGAAAAAATGTATGTATTCTATTTGCGATTGATATCAGTGCATAGATTGTTCAAATGTAAATAGCGTGTTTGCCATCTCGACAACTTACAAAGTTGCAACGGAAACGAAGTAAGATGCTGGATGAAAACGTGTTTTCAAATGATAGAAGAAAGTTTGCCAAAGACAAAACATATTTTTGCGTGATCAAATATTTGCGAATAATTTCACTTCGCAAAAATCGCAAATATTTCCAAGTCGCAAAATTAACCTCTTATACAGTATTTAGGGTCAATGTATCTAGAAATTCATAAAAGTAATTTTACACACTAAATTAAGATCAACAGCAATGCCGATGTTAGGTTTTTTTTTGTTGTAATAAGCATAGCAAATGTTAAAGGACGACGAAGGCCCTGAAGATGGTTTTGTTGTTTTCCCGCCGAGGTAGTTAGAAATTTATTTTCTATAAAGTCTTAGTTAAAAATTTCAATAAGAACTGATGCATATATTTTAATGATAACAAATAATGTGGACAAGTATTTGCAGTACATATTTTACATAGTGTTCGGTGTTTGAAAATTGTTTAAGAAGTATAAACATATACATATATAAAATTTCACTTAAGTGCGGTAACAAACTAAATTACAACGTACAGGATCTTAAATAGAGAACAGCATTTAAAAATATTTATATTTAAAACTTGTTTTATACTAGGTCAGGTCTGTTGCAGGGAATAAATGTAAATTAAATAAAAGACATGAAAGATACCACAAAATATGATATTCCAGGCCAAGTTCATGTTGTCTATCAATGGGTTAATATTCAAGACATCGTGTTTGTTCCACCAATACCATGATTGTTCCTTCATTTGAATTATTGATGCTTAATTGTGCATGCATACAATATCCAGAATGTTTACTTTATATATGTCATTACAAAATTAAAAAAAAAATCAAAACAAAACACACTTGATTCACTTGAGGAGTTAATATCAATTTATTTAATTGTACATTGCCTGATCCTACTTTCTCAAGCTTCTCATTATATACTTAACATTTTTGTTCAAGAAATCAACCGCGACAAGTCAATCATCGGATAGAAAGTCTATTCCTGTCAAGAACGGATCGTGTTTGTCATCTCCAGTCTTCCTCAAATCAATAGAAGCAACAGAAGTTATTGTCATCGGCCTAATGATGTTAACGTAATGATGTTTTAATGCGAGCTGTCCCGGAACATATTCAGTAACTGGAAATGGCGGCAACTTTAATGTTTTGTCAAAATGAAAAGAAACGCTGACCGTCTCTATGTCTTGAAATACCTCATTCACGTTTCTGTATAGAGTAGTGGCATCATTTTCCATTTTCTTTTCTACAATAAATTGTTGCACTAAACTTCCATTTCTATAAACGCTATCAATTGTTTCCAAACAAATTGTTACACCAGATAAGTAGTTCTCTGTTTGCGATTGTTTTATTGTACGTTTTTTAAGTGTTTCTTCCTGAAAAGATTTCGCTCTTTTAGCGATTGAAACTTCCAAATCGACAAACATTCGAATTACTTCATCTCGCACTTGGTTAATTGTTTCTGGAATTTTATTCACGTCTTCATCTATTTTTTTTGAAGACATGATTTGTTTAATGATGCCCTCAGCCATTTCTTTAGAAGCCAGCAATTTTTCCTTTACCAATGAATTTGGAGACATCATTTTGATAGCAGGCTTCTGAACTTCTACAACACTGTCACATTTACGATGATCAACTATAGCGCAGATACTACAACAGAGCTGATTGTCATCTTCGCAAAAGAATTTTATAATCTTTTTATGTTGATAACATCGGATTATTACATGCTTTTCGGTGGTTTATAGAAATATATCAGTGATATTAAACTGGTAATTTCACTGTTTGAAATAGTGAAATTACCACTTTGATAATTTCACTGTTTTGAATTTAAGCCCCTTACGTTATTTCAGTGAAATACCAGCGTGCACAGTACTGGGTACAAACTCAATGACGTGACGTCGTAAATGACGTCACGTTGTATTATCATTTGGCGCGCTTTTCATTCAGTATTAGGTTTAATGTCTTTAAAAAAAAAACCGTTTCTTTGCATGAAATAAAAAGAAAATTTGTTTAGTTTAGTGTAAGATTGAAATATATTTCACCTTGTGAACACCAAAACTCATATTTCACTCGTGGCTGCGCCACTCGTGAAATATACCTTTTGGTGCTCACTCGGTGAAATATATTCCGATCTTACACTGAACTAAACAAATATCCTCTATGTAATCCTTTCATATCAAACGAGTCTTGTTTCGTTACAGCTTCATTTGCACTCACTAATTTGTGAGTTCTGGGGGTAGCAATTATCTGATTATTCTTATTTAAACACGACTGACACAATCTATTCTGGGTACGATTTCGAACATCATCGTCCTCTTGTAACATACTCAATTTTTCCGCCGTTTTGTTTAACGATATTGTTTATCGCTGTTTTATAATTTACAGTTATTTAAAGTTCTCTAGACCATTATTCAGCAAAACAATATCTCGACACACCGCGGCTTCACATGTCAATAAATCTGAATAGGCCTTAAAACTGACTTTAAAAAGTACATTGTTGATAATATCCTAGTATCAGTCCTCTGTTTTCTGTCGTATGTTTACAGTTCGTTGCTCCAATGAATATCCGGAACACGGAAGTTAATTTAGACAATATCTAAAAATAACTGTTAATGATTATATGAATTTAAAAAAATAATTTTTGTAGGCATAAAAATGCCTATAATCTCAATTATATAAAAATATAATAAATTAACATCAGCTCCTGTACTGACATACACATCTATGTAAACATGCATGCATGCACGCATTCAATACACACACTTACAAATAACGTCCTATATTTTGATTAAATGGACATAAATCAAACCTTGTTACAGGTCAAGCATTATTATCCCTATTTATATGCCAAAAACTTTCGGTTTATAATATTATGCACCTGGTCGTCCGCCCGTCCTTTAGTAGGTTTCGAGTCCGGTCTGTTTCTTGTGAACCGGCGGAAGGAAGTTGAAACTACTTGACAGAATTGTTAAGCATAACGTGACAATGTTCAGAGAGCTGGTTTGACATTCCTCTGCTCAAGGTCAGGGTTACACGTAGTCATTTTGTATAAATTTTAAAAATTGGTGTATGTTTTGAACCAATAGAAAGAAATTAAATATTCTTGGCAGAAATATTACTCATAATAAGATGATGTGCAGAACATAAGTTTGTTTGGGATTCCTGAGATCAAAATTGCCCCGCTCCGGGGATCACTTGATTTATATAGACTTATATAGGAAAACACATTTAAGTTTTTTTTTGTGTGAAACTACAATGACTAGAGCACAGGTAGTTAGCATGAAGTATTGTCTTATTGACCTTAACAAAACTGGTATAAATCATGCCCCTTGGGTCCCACACCAGGAGTCACTTTATATAGACTAATACAGTACTTAGCGTAGATATTTGGCATGCAACATCACTCTGTGGACCACAAAATTACTGGTATCCACCATGCTTCTTGGGTCAATATGACAATATGATTTTTTTTGTGAAGCTACAATGCCTGGAGTTTGTATATTTGACATGTAGCATTGCCTTGTTGACTGCTACAAAACTGAAGAAAACACATGTCAGTCTTATTTTATGAAACTACAATGTCAAGAGCTAAGATATTTAGCTTGTAGCAAAACTGATATTAATTATGCCCCTGATGGTCAATATTGGCCCGCCCTGGGTTGATTGTTTTACATAAACATATAAAGGAATATAATTTATTTTTAATTGTGTGAAACTACAAAACCCACAGCTTTGCATGTAGATTTCTCCAAAAATATATTAA